TCATTTTGAATAGATGCTGCTAGTAAAACTTTTTAAATTACTATATGAATGTGTAATGTATGTTTAGTAGAAGTTGTAGAAAATACTTTGATTGACTAGGACATGTTTGATGTGGAGTTATTGAGGGAGATGTCAATGGGTAATGATGGAAAATGTTCAAAATGACCGATTTTCAAAGGGCCATACCTCTGGATTCTACTAAGTGAACGAGAACTTCAAACTTAATAACATCTGTTTCTTTTTCAATTCTCTATACGATGGTATGATTATTATTGATAAATAAAAAAAAAGTTGATTATCCCCTGCTTGTAGCTCATAAAATATATGATTTTGAGCAAATTTATGAAGGGAACATACACCTGGTACTTGAGACCCCTATATTATAATAGATATAACATAAAGCTATCGAATGGTTTTTGTTTTGTGCAAATCCAGTGAGTATTTGTCGAGATATGGTCAAAAAAAGGGTATCATGCAAAATCATGGATTTTTGTTCAAAATCTACGTGTGATAGCAAGCAAAAAATCCGGTGACGATTTTTTGGTCAGGACAATATTTTCAATATTTCATGATAGAGTCATGCCAGAGCTTCAAGCAATAGCTCATTTGATAGCAAATTTTGTGGTCTACAATGTGTAGTAATGCTTAACAAAATGTTTTGATGACAGATACTGATTAATCTTTAGAAAACAGTCAAAAAATCGCAAAAACAATCGCATCAAATATCAGGCGAACAATGTACGCCAGAGGCTTGAAACAAATACCATTGTATTCTCCTTTGAATTCTCTACAAGTTTCATATAAGTTTGAAGGGATGTTTACTATCAGGAAACGCGTAATTTTAATGTTGATAGATTTCGGAATCCCATGGATCATCATTCAGAATACTAGAAATTGAAGCTCCGTTGACCTTCCGCATGTGTACACCTCACAAGTGTGCATTTGACCAAGCATTTTAAAAATCGGAGCGTACGAAAAGGGCCATATTAACTTGCTATTTTCAAGTTATCAATAGATACTTGACATGTTGGAGAATCTTGCTTTTAAGACGAGAGAGTTGTACCTTGCTTTGTTCGATTATAATAAGTCTTCCAATTTAAAGTATGTATATTCCCCCGCTTAAAAATAGCATCTCCAATGTCGATTAACTCATGAAGTGGGCATTTCCAGTATAATGTTCCCACTTAAAAGCTGCTCCAATATCACTATTCTACAACATATTTCAGTTTTATATGATTCTAATTTTTTTTACCTATGAGGATCTGGATGTACAAAATGTTTTTTAATTTTGAGGTTTTCAACTTTTGGACGATCGAAAATCAATTTTCTAAATATTGATGCTAGAGCCTTGAGACTAGCATGTTTCTATACCAGTTTTTTGCCCTCTAAGCGATGGTGCAATTGAAATTTGCGTAGGTAGCATGGTTGTTGAGAAAAGAAAGATTTTAGAAAATAGTTCATTTTGAATAGATGCTGCTAGTAAAACTTTTTAAATTACTATATGAATGTGTAATGTATGTTTAGTAGAAGTTGTAGAAAATACTTTGATTGACTAGGACATGTTTGATGTGGAGTTATTGAGGGAGATGTCAATGGGTAATGATGGAAAATGTTCAAAATGACCGATTTTCAAAGGGCCATACCTCTGGATTCTACTAAGTGAACGAGAACTTCAAACTTAATAACATCTGTTTCTTTTTCAATTCTCTATACGATGGTATGATTATTATTGATAAATAAAAAAAAAGTTGATTATCCCCTGCTTGTAGCTCATAAAATATATGATTTTGAGCAAATTTATGAAGGGAACATACACCTGGTACTTGAGACCCCTATATTATAATAGATATAACATAAAGCTATCGAATGGTTTTTGTTTTGTGCAAATCCAGTGAGTATTTGTCGAGATATGGTCAAAAAAAGGGTATCATGCAAAATCATGGATTTTTGTTCAAAATCTACGTGTGATAGCAAGCAAAAAATCCGGTGACGATTTTTTGGTCAGGACAATATTTTCAATATTTCATGATAGAGTCATGCCAGAGCTTCAAGCAATAGCTCATTTGATAGCAAATTTTGTGGTCTACAATGTGTAGTAATGCTTAACAAAATGTTTTGATGACAGATACTGATTAATCTTTAGAAAACAGTCAAAAAATCGCAAAAACAATCGCATCAAATATCAGGCGAACAATGTACGCCAGAGGCTTGAAACAAATACCATTGTATTCTCCTTTGAATTCTCTACAAGTTTCATATAAGTTTGAAGGGATGTTTACTATCAGGAAACGCGTAATTTTAATGTTGATAGATTTCGGAATCCCATGGATCATCATTCAGAATACTAGAAATTGAAGCTCCGTTGACCTTCCGCATGTGTACACCTCACAAGTGTGCATTTGACCAAGCATTTTAAAAATCGGAGCGTACGAAAAGGGCCATATTAACTTGCTATTTTCAAGTTATCAATAGATACTTGACATGTTGGAGAATCTTGCTTTTAAGACGAGAGAGTTGTACCTTGCTTTGTTCGATTATAATAAGTCTTCCAATTTAAAGTATGTATATTCCCCCGCTTAAAAATAGCATCTCCAATGTCGATTAACTCATGAAGTGGGCATTTCCAGTATAATGTTCCCACTTAAAAGCTGCTCCAATATCACTATTCTACAACATATTTCAGTTTTATATGATTCTAATTTTTTTTACCTATGAGGATCTGGATGTACAAAATGTTTTTTAATTTTGAGGTTTTCAACTTTTGGACGATCGAAAATCAATTTTCTAAATATTGATGCTAGAGCCTTGAGACTAGCATGTTTCTATACCAGTTTTTTGCCCTCTAAGCGATGGTGCAATTGAAATTTGCGTAGGTAGCATGGTTGTTGAGAAAAGAAAGATTTTAGAAAATAGTTCATTTTGAATAGATGCTGCTAGTAAAACTTTTTAAATTACTATATGAATGTGTAATGTATGTTTAGTAGAAGTTGTAGAAAATACTTTGATTGACTAGGACATGTTTGATGTGGAGTTATTGAGGGAGATGTCAATGGGTAATGATGGAAAATGTTCAAAATGACCGATTTTCAAAGGGCCATACCTCTGGATTCTACTAAGTGAACGAGAACTTCAAACTTAATAACATCTGTTTCTTTTTCAATTCTCTATACGATGGTATGATTATTATTGATAAATAAAAAAAAAGTTGATTATCCCCTGCTTGTAGCTCATAAAATATATGATTTTGAGCAAATTTATGAAGGGAACATACACCTGGTACTTGAGACCCCTATATTATAATAGATATAACATAAAGCTATCGAATGGTTTTTGTTTTGTGCAAATCCAGTGAGTATTTGTCGAGATATGGTCAAAAAAAGGGTATCATGCAAAATCATGGATTTTTGTTCAAAATCTACGTGTGATAGCAAGCAAAAAATCCGGTGACGATTTTTTGGTCAGGACAATATTTTCAATATTTCATGATAGAGTCATGCCAGAGCTTCAAGCAATAGCTCATTTGATAGCAAATTTTGTGGTCTACAATGTGTAGTAATGCTTAACAAAATGTTTTGATGACAGATACTGATTAATCTTTAGAAAACAGTCAAAAAATCGCAAAAACAATCGCATCAAATATCAGGCGAACAATGTACGCCAGAGGCTTGAAACAAATACCATTGTATTCTCCTTTGAATTCTCTACAAGTTTCATATAAGTTTGAAGGGATGTTTACTATCAGGAAACGCGTAATTTTAATGTTGATAGATTTCGGAATCCCATGGATCATCATTCAGAATACTAGAAATTGAAGCTCCGTTGACCTTCCGCATGTGTACACCTCACAAGTGTGCATTTGACCAAGCATTTTAAAAATCGGAGCGTACGAAAAGGGCCATATTAACTTGCTATTTTCAAGTTATCAATAGATACTTGACATGTTGGAGAATCTTGCTTTTAAGACGAGAGAGTTGTACCTTGCTTTGTTCGATTATAATAAGTCTTCCAATTTAAAGTATGTATATTCCCCCGCTTAAAAATAGCATCTCCAATGTCGATTAACTCATGAATCATGGCTCTCAACAAACATTAATCTCTTATCATGATGATTCTACGACACAATTCAACTTGGGTTGCTAATTTATGGCCTCATGTCTGGTCCTGGGTATATAGAGTCTATTTTAGATTTTGACGTTGGCTACTTACAGACAATCGGAGATTAACTTCTCAAAAAAGTTATCTGAGTCTTGGATTCATATCATTTCGTAAAAGCGAAAATATAAAGGGCTACACACACTATCTTTTTGTGAACAAAAAAAAATATTACCCAGTAGGGGGGTCGAACCCCTAATCTTCCGTTTAGAAGACGGATGCCTTATCCAATTGGGCCAACCGGGCTGTTGTTATCTTTTTTTATTTTAAAACTTACCAATGTAACCAAAACCAATTTTTTATGATATCACGTGACATTTTTCTTTCTGCCGTTTTTCTGAAAATGGCTTAACAGTATACTGTGATGTCCACAAGCAATGCCAAACTATCACAATTCAACGTCTTATCTATAAAAAGCACAACACATAGTAGTGTATGATGCCTATGTTAATGAAACGTCAAAGCCTCCGTATTGTTTTTCATAATTTGCGAATACTCTTTGAAGAAAAAATGCCCAGTGTTGTAATCTTAGCATTCAAAATATGATATTTAAACTATTCAGATTCATTTGAGTTTAGCAGTTGTGGTAGATCATTTCTGATTGCTACCAAACACCATCCAACTACGGAAGCTGTCAGATGGATTGTGTAAATCCTAAACAGTCCCAATTTTTTTTTCTTCAATTACTATGGAAAACAAGCCAACACATCAACGCACTTTATTCATTGCATCTAAAGTGTGTATATATGCTAATATTGTTACAACAGATCCATCGTGTAATAATAAGAAAAAGCAGCAAACCCTTTCAAACATATTTGAATCAACAGACCAAGCAGCTCAATCGTGGAATGAAAGCATATATTCAAATAGTTGGACAAAATTCACCTGAGGGCCCACCTAGTTTGGTTCTTCATTACGACTCACAGCGATACCTGATCAACTGCCGAGAGGGTACTCAACGACTCTGCGTGCAAGAAAAAGTTAGACTTGCAAAACTGAGCAACGTCTTTTTAACAAGAGTGGATTGGGATTGCATTGGTGGTCTTACAGGTAAATATCTACTTTTGATGCAAAGGTAGGATCATGATCTGATTGAGTACATGCATATTTCAGGTATGCTTCTTACACTTACGGATGCTGGTGTGCGGAATATTGGCCTTCATGGAGGAAAGAATCTATCTCACTTTGTTGCTGCTACTAGACAATTCGTATATAGGTAACATGGATCCGAGATCAAAGTGGAGCAGGCATATGATTCTAACATGATAAGAGTAGAACCAACGCAACAGTAAATGTTCATGAATTCAGTGACACATCCAAGCCATTCAGCGACAAGAATTTGACAATGACACCAGTTGTAGTGCTTCCAACCAGTTCAAAAAAGAGAAATTATGACCAATATAGCGGCAGTAGCAGTGGCAGTGATAATAGTAGCGAGAGTAACAGCAGTAATGAATCATCGTCCAGTGGAAGCACCAAATTCACAAAGAATAGCATCTTGTCTCAAGTAGAAGCCGATGAATATCGGCAGAAAGTGATTTCGCTCATGTTTACAAACGTCAGCAAAGGGGAAAAGGCACCTGGACACACCATTGAAGCGGATTGTTCACCTAGACCACCATCACCTTCAAAAGCAACCAAAACAGCACATCCACTCTCCTCAGCAACCTTAGCTACAGAGGATCTTGCAATGGAAAAGGCCGTGACAAATCAAAGGGACCATTTGATGAGAGGATTACCTAGAACAAAACCATACCCAGCAGCTGTCAGTTACATTTGTCAAGGTGTGCCAGTGCCACGTAAATTCAATAAAAAGGCCGCACTTGCACTTGGTCTCAAGCTAGGACCTCTCTGCGGCCAGTTACAAAAGGGTATCTCGGTCACCTTGGAGGATGGACGAGTGATTACTCAGGATATGGTCTGTGACCCAGAGATACCAGGTCATGTGTTTATGGTGATTGATTGCCCTCACATCAGCTACATTGATAACCTTATACACTCGCCCAAATTCAAAGACTATCAAACTGGAGGTGCTCGTAAAGTGAATGTCATGATTCATTATGTTGGCAAGAATGTGCTTCAAGACGCAAGGTACAAGAAATGGCTTCAATCTTTTGACGCAACCACCGATGTAAATGACTCTATTGTCGTGTGATACCATGTTTTTAATATTTTTTTTTTTTTTTATATTTATAGCATATTTTCGGATCTACAGAGATTTGTGCTCAAAGCGTTCAGTTCACATCACATGCTGTTGGCCAAGTAAAACTGTCCATGTTGAATGAGAATATCTTTCCCATTCCAAAATACAGCAACACGCCATCCTTGCCCTTGGATCAGAGTGAGTATACTAGCCAACGATCATAGCGTGCGCGCCACTAATCATTCACCAGTCGAGGGGTTGCCTAAAAATAGCTATAGATTAGAAAGCATGGCTCAATATAGTCTCGAGCCTAGAAGCGGTATACAGTATTTGGATAGGCCCGCATTCAATCACACCAATTTTGAGATTCCCGAAATCAAGAAAATAGACGACGACAAGGAATACCACGAAGCTGTTCGATTATCCAGAGTGAAAGCATCTCAAGTGGACTGCAGCAAGAGATTTCCTGGCGATGATGTGCAAATCATCACACTTGGCACAGGCAGCTCGATTCCAGCAAAGTATAGAAATGGTATGAAAGAGGAAAAAGCGGCTGATTATATAATGTCTAAGAAGCGATTTATAGTAAGTGCTACTCTGGTCAGGATTCCTGGTTACGGATCCATCATGCTGGATGCAGGCGAAGGCACCTATGGTCAAATGATGCGACGATTTGGCATTGAACGGTTGGACGAAGAGATGAGAGCTATTCGATGTATATTCATTTCCCATTTGCACGCTGACCATCATTTGGGTGTTGTACAATTAATTAACAAATGGAACAAGGTAGAATCTCTTGACTGATGTCATGCCTCTTTACACTAGCTAATTGACTTGATTAGGCTTCTGATAAATCTGCCGTCTTGACAGTGGTGGGGCCTTTTGTGTATAAACATTGGTTGAGTGAATACAGCGATATTGAATACGTGGGATCCAGAAGAAGCCGAGTCAAGTTTATTCGAAATGAAAGCATCCTCAAGGACAAGGCGACCAAGGGCCAAGATCTCGCCAATTTGAACGAGTTGAAAAACGCACTTGATCTTACCGTGATTGAGCCAGTAGAAGTTGTGCACTGCAGATGGGCGTATGGTCTATCGATTCAGCACAAGTCTGGCTGGAAGCTTGTTTATTCTGGCGATACCCGTCCTTGTGATAAACTGGTTGAATCAGGAAAAGATGCCACATTATTGATACACGAAGCAACACTTGAAGACGCCGAGTTGGAGAAGGCCAAAGCCAAACGCCACAGCACAACAGGAGAAGCTATTGACGTTGGAAAGAGGCAAGTTTAGTCAAGAAAGTCATATGAAAGTGGAGGCTAACTTGATTTATGTCATGGTAGAATGAATGCCAAATTTACACTATTGAATCATTTCAGCCAACGTTATCCCAAGCTGCCCATTCTGTCTGAAGAGCAATCCAACGTCTGCTTTAGTTTTGATTTGATGACGATATCAATGAAGCAGATTCCTTTGCTGCCTAAATTCACAAACGCTATTCAACTCGCCTTCAAAGATGAAGAGGCCGAGGAAGATAAAGACGTTGAGATGATCACCACCACCAAGACACCAAGCAAAAAACAACAGCAAAGGAAGAAGGATATCAAGTGATCTAAATATTTTGTGTCACTTTGATAGTCTTTCATCATGATGAAACCGTTTTATCATGCTGCACAACACCAACAACACATAGAGCAGCGTATAAATAAACACGTAATAAAGACTTTGCCTAAGCCCTTTCTTTTCGCTTTTCTTTTCCTCTTACTCTTCTAAAAAAAAAAAATGGCTGATTTCGCTCAACCTCCTTCTATTGATACCACACAGCAACATCTCCAACAACAACCCAAGCTGGATGAATCTCCCGTTCCATCTGCCACAGCACGTAAGTCTACTCTAGCTGTAAGTTTTCAAGTTGGCTGATGATGATGTGATTAGCACCTGCCAATGGAGCTACTCTTCCCGCTGCCAGCAAGGATGCTGTCTTTGATACCCCTCCTCCCTCTGTAAAGCCAGTCATCAATACCAACACCACCAACAAAGTTCCTTCTGGTAAATCGTTTTCCTACAAGTCGCCTGACATCAAGTTTGAGGATGGTATAGTATAAAAGGCTTGTAATTTTCTCTGCATGGATATTGACGCCACTACTATTAGATGCTCCTGCTTATTTAAAGACCAAGGTAGAGTCTCTCATCTACTGGGAATATCCCAAGAAGAGCGCCGTCTTCCTCCTTTCATCTCTCAGTATCCTGATCTTGACACAATATTACTCTCTCTTGCAAATAATTGCTGGTGTATTCACTCTTGTTACTGGATTGAATTTGGTATTTGTTCTTATACACAAGCAAGGTCAACGGTTCATTAGCGGAAAGTCGAGTGACAACATTTCCAATCCTCACAGGTAAAAGACATACATGTAAGATGTTTATGAGCAGCAGTGATGCTAAAAAGGCATATTTACAGTGAACGTCTCAACAGCAAAGGATCCTATATTCCCCGTGATCGCGTCTTACGCACAGCACAGTTAACCATCGATGTTGTTGAAGTGATCACACAGCAAATCACAAAGTTAGTATTGATTGAAGATACCTGGCGCTCTGCCATCTCCTTGGTTGCCTCTTACTTGGTCTGGACTCTCGCAAAATACGTATCAACAAAGTACTTGTTTGGATTCTTCTTGGTGTCTGCATTCAGTTTGCCTCGCCTCTACCTTCAAAATCAAGACATCGTTGATGCCCACGTCGCTCGTCAATCCAAGAAAGCACGCATCTTGGCTGAGCAATATGGTGGTGTTGCTGCTACCAAGGCCAAGGAACTCACTGCGCAGGCAAAGACCTTTATCAAGTCCAAGTCTGCCTCTGTTCCCAAGCCTGGTGCTGCTAATCCAGCTGCCACTATCCAAGAGCCAACAAAAAAGACTGAATAATTGCTTTACATGTCTATGATTTACCCTTCCTTCCCACTCCAATATATATATAAAAAAAAAATGACGCTTTCTTCTATCCCCTTTATTATTGTTGTTATTGTTGTGTTTTATGAAAATGGAAGGGGGTTAGGGTCCCAGGAAACAAGGGAAGAGACAGGCAGATGCATACTGTTTGTGCACCCATCAGCATAACAATAGTTCGGCTTTCATGTTGTATTACCATCACACAGGAGGAGCAGCCGTAGTAACCGGGAGACTGATGGTCTTTTTGCCGATTAACTTGTAGTACAGGAAGCGTAAAATTGCTAGTGTTGAACGTTAGTTTTATTGTTAAACACCATGCCTTGTATCATCTCTGCTCACATTGCAACATCACTCTTGTAAGATGGGCTAATAAAACATAGTAACCGTGCCTCCAGCCTGTTTGATAGAGCGCTTTTATAAACTCTTTATCCGCCACATAAAACGGCACATAGTCGATCAATCTCGCATACAATTCCTTGGAACAAGGCTGGTATTGCTGAAGACACACCAGCGTGCCAGGGCCTTTGTACTGATGCACATCTCGGGGCGCAAACCCAACCGTAACATGAAAGTTGCTCTTCCCTAGACCTACATATTGACGTATCATCTGTCCCTGTGGCCAATAGATCACCTTGTAATAAGTTTTGGCATCGGCTGATTCAGTGGACCCCAATCCAAGATCAATCGGTTTCTCCCACCCTGATGCCTCGCCAAACTGATTTAGAATGGTAGATAGTAATGTGTGTTGTCCCTGCTTAAATAGTCTCTTCTTTTGCTTGTTTGACGTAGAAAGCTGTTGGTTGCCATTCTCATCCGGTAAGGTTTTGGACGTCTTTTCAGCTATCTCCAAGTGATTGATGACTGTAATGTGATGTCCTTTGTTTGCGCCATCTCTGGTTAATCTGTTCTGGATATAATGCTCTGCAATAGGCTGATCTAGCCGTAATCCAATGGTATCAATGAATGATCCTCGCAATGACAGGAATCTCCCCTCTATCTCGAACGCTATATCTGTCATATCAAAAGCGTAAAAAATAAAAGAAAAGAACACATAACCCAAGGGAGCTTTAAAATTTTTTTTATTGTCTGTAATTTATGCTAGCAAATCAGTCCCTCCAAGCAATGTGAACCTCATCTGTTCTGAAGCGTTGTGTAATTGTGCTTTCTTCCAAGGGCGTGGTAAAGCCAGTCTTGTAAGCCAGCAGACCAGCATGTGCAATCATGATGCCGTTGTCAATGCAAAATCTGTCGTCTGTTGCGCATACAGTGGCATTTCTCTGTGCTGCCATTTCGCCCATCATCTCCTGCAGTCGAATATTGCATCCAACACCACCGACCAGCAGCACCTGGTTTGACTCAACGTGTGCCATGGCTCTTTCTGTAATCTCCACTAACATGGCAAACAGTGTCTCCTGGAGCGAAAAGCACAAATCCTCTGGCGTCACTTGTCCTTTTGGAAGCTCTGATTTTGCCATCTTTTCAATGTGTGATAAAATGCCAGAAAATGACACATCCATGCCCTTGACGGCGTAAGGTAGCTGAATAAACTTCTTTCCTCTCTTTGCGTACTGCTCAATGTTGTATCCAGGACTTGGTGCGTTTGATAGGTTGAGTATACGAGCGAACCGATCAAGACAGTTGCCAATAGCGATATCCAATGTCTCTCCAAAAATACGGTAGCGTTGTTGCGAATAAGCAATGACTTGTGTGTTGCCTCCACTCACATAGAGCACAACTGGGTTGTCTGCTTTGGTCACCTCTCGTCCCATCTCAATGTGTCCAACACAGTGATTGACACCCACAATAGGTTTGTTCCACAGCAAAGAGAGAGTGCGAGCAACAAGTGCCACGCTCACTAAGGGTGCTCCCATGCCTGGTCCCTTGGTATAACAGATCACATCGATATCTTGGGGTTTGAGGTTGGCTTCTTTCAATGCTTCCTTTGTCACTCGTAAAATACAATCGCGGTGGTGCTGTGCTGTATCGCGAGGCAAGAACCCTTGTCCTGGTGGTGTAATGTATGTATCTCGCACATTGGCCAAGATGTCGACTTGATCGCCTTCATGTCGAATGATGCCAACACCAAGCTTGTTGGCTGAACCCTCAAATCCAATAGCTACAACCATATTATATAAGAGAAAGGAAAGAAAACGGAGGACTACATTTGAAGGGATTCAAAAAATTTGCCTCTTTCAGGTGTATGGGTAGTGTTTATAGACCATCACCCACGATCGTATGTGATTCCATTCGGATATCAGTCTATATACATGTCGTTTTGCTAGTATGTTGATTGACGTTTTTTTTTTTTTATATATATATATATAAAGGAATTCTTTTTATTATTACAATTTGAGAGAGTTTACAAGTATTTTTTTTTTTCAAGTGTCTAAAAGGCGAATCATTGCTTTTTACTCGACAACCTTAGCGAGGATCTCGGAATCACGGAACAAGAGGTATTCCTAATAAAACCATGTCAATGGCTCCATGCCACTCTTATATACCAGACTCATAACATACCTCACCGGCAACCTTGACAGGGCTACCACCATAGGGAGGAAGAAGGACCTTATCACCAGCATTGACTTGAAGAGGGATGTGCTTACCTTCCTTGTTGAGGGCACCCTTACCAACAGCAACAATGACACCTTCATTCAAAGCTTCTTGAGCCTTCTCAGGAATAAAGATACCAGAGGCAGTTTTCTAGATGATGGGCGTTAGGTACACGAATGAACACACACATGTACCCCACATGCAACTTACTTGTTGAGGCTTGATGCGTTGGACCAAGACACGGTCAAGGAGAGGGACGATATTCTTGAGCTTGTTGGCAGCAGACTATACATTTCAAATGTATCAGCCATTGATCTCTGCTTTTTCTTCCCTCCGTAGACAGCATGTACTTACCATTTTTCTTTATAATTGATGAGATGAAAGAAGAAAGAAAAAGAACAAACTGAGATGCCCAACCCCCAGTTTATAATGGATTGATGGGGGGGGAATGAACCTCTTGCTCTTCAAACATCTATGGGATCGCAGTAGTCACACGAAAAAGAAGTTCCTGGAAATTTCCCAGGATGTTGAATGGTTGTCGTTTCCGGAGAGATCCAAATGGTGCTACATTGAGTGTATAGACAGCTCAACAAGGCCATTGGATGTGTAAACAGACTCCTACCGTCTCTGAGCAACTGATCCACTTTAGGCACACAGCAACAAAGACATGAGGGATGCATGTACGCATGAGAAACGTCCGCGCTGAGATGACATATTCAGACATGTCCCACTAATCAAGATATGGCATTTGATTCAAATCAAGGTGTTTTTATTTGTATTCACGCATGCAGTCCGACAACACTATGATCCTGAAAACACATGCCATGAATTATTGTATATAGAAGGATTGCTGTTCCAATGGATGTTGCTGTGGATCGCTATTGGACGTAGTGCCAATAGGAGGAGTAGCAGGCATGTTAATGCTGCAATGATACTCGGCAAGCTGTCGAGAGGGAAGGTAGCTGTTTGAGAGCAGAGCGTGAATGCTAGTGTTCTTTAACGGTGTTGACATAGAGGCTGCTGAAGGATAGCTGGGTATGGGGGTATTGGGAGTCGATTGCGTTGGCGTAGGCACGTTGGATGATGGTGTTGTATCAGGTTCAATCATGGGTGGTATTCTAAAGTTTTGCTTCGACAACAGTTCAGGAGAGATCTCTAAATTGGCCAATTCTGGAACCACCGAAGGAGTACGAAGCTGATGCTCCAACACATCGTTGGGATGATAATACGAGACGAGATGAAGTGGAGCCCCATTGACTACCAACGACATTGTCTTTTTAATCAAGCCATGTTCTTTAAAGTTGTATGCCTCTGAAAGACTGCCCACTAATTGTCGGTTTGTGCGATGATGATGATGATGATGATGATGATGATTGCCATCAGTCGTTGATTGACGTATCTTTGACGACGCAGCGATAGTTGCATCGCTCAGTGTACTTGTGCTGCTGGTAGATCTCTTCCTTACCTGCTGCTTTTGCGATGCTGATGGCTTCTTGTCCAATTCACGATATATTAAAAAGTTGCCCAAGATGCGAGAAGGACTCCACACCAAGCCATCTGTCCATCGCTTAATGCCTGTCAATGGCATGATGGTTATCATACTTTTGTGTCGAGTGCTTATAAGCCAAGCTTACCGGAATCCTTCTCATCAAAGACAAACACGGAACCTGAGCGAACCATTTTTCGCTCTCTCTCCTGCAAGCGTCTAGAGATTTTGGGCAGGATGTTTCTTCTGCAGGCTTCAAACACCAAGAGCGAATCCTGAGTCGTTTCAATATAGCCATGAAAGGTTTCTGACACTGACATTTTATAGTGATGTAGAAAAAAGGAGAGAGAGAGAGAGAGAGAAAAAAAAAGAAAAAAGAAGGGATACAAACGAAAGAGATAAAAAAGACACAACAACAAACAAATCAAGTGATGAACGTATCCAAAGCGTTAGATCTATCATACATTCTGAGAAGTTTGACCCTATTAAATTAATCAAATGCAGCGTGTTTTTCTTTATTTATAAAAAAGTGTGTATCTACTCGTCATCGTCATCGTCATCCTCCTCTTGAGAATCCTCTTCGTTCAATTGCATATTATCCTCTTCTTCTTCCTCGCCTTCGAAATTGATCTGTTCGTCCTCTTGCTCCTCCTCGGCTTCCTGTGCTTTGCTTTGCTTTTTAGCGTCCTTTTCAGCCTTCTTCTTTTCGACATTTTGCTCTTGTTGCTCTCTACGGGCAGCCTTTTCTTCCAGTGTACGTTGTCTCTTGCGTTCACTCTCCTTGACTTCCTTTTGAGTCTTTGTAATGTATCTGTGGTACAGTACTTCACCACCACACATGCCATTTTCAACCTTGGTGAGCTCCAATGTTAAGCGAGGGCCTAACTCGTGGAGACGAACAGCTCTTTGTTCATTTCTACGATTATTGCGTCCGGGGTAGTCTTGTGGTAAGGTCACCGTGGATTCGGGTCCATCCTCCACATCACTTTCTGAAATGATTGCCTCCTTCAACACATAGTCTGAAATGTCCTCATAATCACCGAGATTGGGCAAGTTGGTGTTGATCACTCGTTTGATGGATTTGGATACGCCAGTTGCTTTGACGCCAATGCTGTAGTGTCTCATGTCAATCATGCCTGTATCTTCGTTGTAGTTGAACAGCAGTACACGCCTTGCCTCCGAGAGCTGCATTGTTTGTACATCCACTGAAGGGAACATATTCTGTAACATAACGGTCATGACCTTGAACTCTTTGCCAGGCTGCTGAAAGTTGTTGAGAACGAGCAAAGGACTCTTGTGATATTCGACGTCGGATGTCTTGGGGTTCTTTTGCAGTGCTAAACAATCCTTGGCCAAGGCGTATTCTGCCACACGGAACGTTAATGTAGGGCCACGGGGCACACGAGCAATTCGAAGATTGACATTCTTTTCAGTGCGACTAAAGATCAGGAAATGTGTTACACCCAATTGACCTGCCACCATGACAAAATCCTTAAGTCGATTTGATCTACGTTCCTACAAAACCATGTCAGCATTGGATGCATCGCATAGTCTTGATATATTGCAGTGTATTTACTCTGAGATGACTAGCTGTGTTGGGCTCCAAGACTCGACGCACATCACGAACGAGGGCAGTAACAGATGTACCTACGATACCCGAGCGCATTACAAAACTCTTGGGGATCTTGTTCATTTCCTCTTCGGAGGGCTGGATGTGGGTTCTGTTCTTTCTCTAAACGCTACAGTATCAATATCTCGTTTAGGCCATATCCTTGTCTGTCAAATCTAACCTTTCTTTTGGCCATTTTCTGTAGTGATTATGGATACAAAATGGTACTAGTCTAAAAGATGAAAAAGAAGTTTTTTTTTTTTTTGAAAGGCTTCCTTTAATACACTCGTAGAATGACAACGAAAGACTGTCACATCAAGGTCACTTCAATGGATGTCAATGCAACTGTAATGCTTCATTTGGCTGCCCTTATGTAATGTCTTTGCTCTAGTGAAAAAATGATACCAGTCCATAATTTATTTCTTATTAACATGATGCAAAGGTGAATCAGCATTATAATACATTTCGGTACCACCCACAGTGCCACCGCCACCGCTTACACCAAAGGTAGTCCAGGTCTTGACTTGATCGTTGGGTTCAAGAGATGCCCAAGAGATGCCACTGGTCTTTTTTAAATTAATTTCAATCTTTGTTGAGAGCACAGTGAATTTGGAGGCAGGAGTATCGATTGTCTGTTCATTTAAAGGAGGTGAATAGGACGCCAATGTCTCGTTTGATCTCATCTACTTACAGCAAAGAGAGGGAATGTCTTCTTGTAACGCTTGTTACCCTTCATCTTGATGTCAACATTGATAGAGTCCTCAGTGAAATCAACTTTTGTATCATCTTTGTTCTTTGCAAAAATACTCAAAATGACATTGGTTTGAGTCTGGTACCAATCAGTACGGCAATCGACCATTTCCTCGGTCTAAATCACACATTTAGCCTCTTGTGTTGAGCATCCCATCATAGCAACTTACTTGACTGTTGGCACCCACGAACAAATGCTTTCCTTCCTTGCATCCTTCAATCTTCAAAAATTCATCAAAATCCAAGACCTTGCGAGAGCAACAGCTCCAGCCCTTGGATCCCTCATGGAAAATGGGAGAACCAGGATGATGGCGACATGTAGCCTCAGCACCAGAGCCACGAGATGTAGCTTGGTCTTTCCATACACGTCCACAACCACGTCTCTTACATGTAGTGCCCTCAGGTACAGGTACAGATTCATCGTCTTCCTCTTCGATTTCAGGCTTCTTCTCCTCCTCTTCCTTCTTGGGTTCAACGGCAACAGCAGCAGGTGCGGCAGGTGCTTCAGGCTTCTTGCCGTACACTTCCACGCCCTCTTCAGTAACATGAGTTGCTTGAGCTGTGACGGGAACATCAGCATTCTTTGCAGCCTCTGAAGTGCCTACTGCAGCAGGGGCAGCGACAGGCTCGGTGGAATGGCGACCAAAAGTACAACCAGGAAGAGCAAGGAATTCATCGAAATCAGATACACGCTTCTTACAACAAGACCAGCCCTTTAAACCTAGATAAAAGCCGGTTCAATGTCGCCGATTCGTGCTAGAATTGCCCTTGTCGCTCTTACCTTCATGAAAGACGGGAGCGCCTTCGTGATATTGACAAGCTACGGGCTATATCAGTATTCTGTTTTCACTCAAGAAATGACAATCCATGTGAGCGTACCATTGTCCTTGTTCTCTGCCTCATCAAAGTCCTTTCCGCAACCTTTATGTGTACACTTGGCCATGTTGATAATCTAATATGAAAATGAAAAAGAGTAAAGAAAAAGGTCAATTGAAGTAGAGGGTCCGTCGTAATTCATATCCCAAAAAACTGACACTGATGGAATTTACTAGACATTTCCTTCAATATCATTCAATATCCGCCTTCATGGCTTTTGTGTGTGTTGGTCTCAACCTCCCTTAATCAGCAATTAGAAGGGTATAGATGGGCTCATGTCACATGCAAACATTGAAGCATCAGTGCTCTTTATTACTCAGTATTGACTGACTAAATACGCAAGCATATTCATCCAATGCCGCTACCAAGAAAGCCCAGATACATGGCTTTTGCTCATGCTGGTGGTAGCTGTAGCTGCAGTAGCTGTATCCAGTATTAAGTTGGGTGGTCGCATATTAGATCTTGCTGGAAAAGGCTTCATTGCAAAGCGATGATGCGCAGGTGCTGTTGGCTTCTTTGCAGTGGACACAGTGGAATCGGTTGGCTGCGACGCAGCATCAGCAGATGAAAACAACTGCTCAGTGGAAATGAAGCTCGTTGAGGAGATGTTAATGTCTTTTCCTACAAACATTTCGTCTAGAGCCATCGCATGAGCAGCTTTTTTTTTTTTTTACGCTTCATTGCATCAGTGTATATGTACCTTTGTTGGTTGGGCAACTGCCAGAGCCATCCAATTCACATACTCGCTCGAGTGCTTGCTTTGTAGTATTAGGAGTGCTGCTAATCTTCAATTGACTTGTTTTACGAGTGATGCTCTTTTCACCTTTGATTTTCTTGGATCCAGAGACAAATCCTTTCTTCAAGTCCTGTAGCAGGGTTGATCTAGATATGGATGGCATGGGCGGTATATCAGTGCTAGCCATTGTGGATCTGCTTCGTTTCTCTTCATCGAGAATGGCCTCTCTAAGCAGTCGAGATGATCCATTACTGCCTATGCTACTCGCTGGTGATTTGTTGTTGACAGATTTGGGCCGCTGGGGCTTCTTTTGTTGTTGCTGCTGCTGTTTTGTAATAGAGAGATAGGATGAGGACTTGTTGCTTGATAAGCGATTTGTACTAGCAGATCGCAACACTTGAGGTATATTGAACGAAAATCCTGTTTGAATATGTGTCGATAGAAGGCCAAGCCGAGCTTTGTTGTTGGGAATAAAGAACTTGTCTGATTTCAGAGCAGCATTCTCCGCATTGATCACTATTGTAGGTGGATGAGCCCTTGATATCACAAGACGCGTACGTTCAACCTACATTTCAATGTCAAAAATTCCTTCAATGTATCGTCATCGTAAAGCAATGGAGGGCTGGGTGTAGTAGGGCCAAATTCACCCACATTGCTCTTTGTCAAGACCTCAATTCTACACCGTATTTATTAGCTTTGTCTGTATAACAAGCTGCCACCACAGAACTTACCTCCAGCATTTCTTGCCACTCACCACTTCAGGTCGAATAATTATATACACATGAAGAAACTGAGACCGGATAGCTTTGGGATTGAACGTTTGGCTGCCCTCCAGAAATATGATACACACAATATCTGCACATATTGTCAGTTTAGTCAAGCCATGTTTTTTTCAACTAAATTTTACCATTGCCAATGTGTTTTTTGCGTAGCACTTGTTGTTTATCATTCTTTTGGGAAGGCATCAATGGTGCCACATGATACATGATATCAAAATCATTCCACTTTGAAATGTAAGCATACTCGCCCGACTCGCCAGCTTGGATGAACAGTGCTATTTAGTACACAAAAAACAAATAAACAAGCGTAAGCCGACTTACTTTTAGTATCCAGACCAGCTGAATAGCCCCTGTATCCTTTCAATTTGATTTTTTGGCCCATGATGCTGAGGAAATCCTGTAATTGCTCTGATAAGCCAGTATTCGAGAACCAAGATTCCTCGGTTGTTTGGTTGTCCCGTATTGTTAGCACGCCAAATTTATAATGTTTGGGTATCTTGTATCAAACAGATGTTAACTATATTCAAGGAGTCCTTTTGAATTCATTTAACTTACATGAATTTCGTCATATTTTAATAGATCTTTTTCCAAGCCTGCCATAATGGTAGATTCAGCCGATAGCTCTTTAAATGAACGCAAGTCTATATTAGGACAAACGGATAGAATAGCTGCTCGAAGCATCCTTGATGTTGTCGTATTATTAGCGTCGCTTAATTGAGGCATGGAGGACCCATTTTGGTTGATATTTCTACTCATAAAGGGTCGCAGTCGCTTGTCGTGGTGGAGGTGCGAGGTACATTTATCGAGCTTGTTGCTATCACCCCGTGCTTCGAGCGATGATTGGGTCTCTTTGGCCATACATTCATGGATAATGTAACGCATTTGCTCGGCCTGTATAGCGCATTTAGTACTAGTAATACAGCATTAATTCAGTCTTACCTCTTTGCTACGAATGATAATTCGATACTGGGACCCAAGAATAGCGGCAGCGCCATTTCCAGGGCCACTGAAATCCTTTGCTCGTTCCTGAATCACCGAAATTATGCCGACAGAGTCGTTTGTCAGTGGGGTTTCATCCACAGAGTTGCTTCCAAAATAAGAGTTTAGTTTTGATTTGCTCTTTTTCGTACTGGCGCTAGTGGTTGTTGTTGTTGTTTCAATGAGGGGCAGATTAGCGGGTGCGTCTTGTTTCAAGCTGCCAATAAACGTATGGTATGGTTTTCCAACAAAGTAGCGTCTAAACCAGCTTGCGTTGGCGTCAATCTGATCCGACTGTAGTTCTCGATAGTGTTTTGCAGTGTGCATCATGGAATCAATCTTTGCAGTCTCCTTTTTGAATCCATCCGATACATTAAAACTTAAGCATGGTGCGTTTTCATACAATGTCAAACATTTCTTGCAAATAGTTTGTATTTCTACCAGCTAAATTGAATACAAGATGGAAATTAAAATGAAAGTGCTACAACAACATGTACCAAACTCACGAATAATTTCATTGTCTCCACCGACGCATAGCGGTCTTGTTGCTGGATTTGCTGTCTAGCGTCTTGCAAGCAGAGAGATTCATCACATGCATCTATCAATGTCATTGTTTGGTTTGACAACAATTCCAGCTCTCGGACGTGAGAAAAGTCCATGTCATTTGCAATGGTACTAGCAGCAGCAACATTATCATCAGTGATAGTAGTAGTAGCATTGGCAGTGTTTGTTGCGTTCAACAAATCTATTAAATGTGTACAACGCTCAGTTAAGGCATTGGCATACTCTTCAATAGACGATTTTGTAGGTGCAGGTGTGGATGAGTTATTATTTTTGATAATCATAGGTAACATTGGAGATGGCGGTGGTGTGATATGATGGTTTAGTATCGAGTCTGCAAAGGAGGAGACAGATGAATTCGAGAAAGAAAGAGGAGAAAACAGGTTGAATTCATCTTTTACTGTGTCAGCTGCGGTATTGCTGCTGTTGTGATGGTGGTTGATCTTGTTGTGATGTCTGCCACTGTTGCTGTTGTAGTAATATGAATAAAAGTCTGTTCTCTCAGGAGATGATATTGAATAAGGAGAAGAAGAAGATGATGATTGCGTTTGATTGTTATCCAATGCAGCAGTTGCTACAGTCAGTGGATTAGATTTAGGGTTGCTTTTGTTATATATCTGGTAAAAGAGGAATGAATAATCCAATTCAACACAGGAACAAACAACTTACTCGCCCTGCTTCATGTGCTGGAATATCGAGGCTTCGAGAAGGATAGCTGCGACCAGTATCGATGCCATGGTTGCTACCGTAGTCTAAGCTCTGTGTGGATGAAGATCTAGACTCTCTGATAATCGATTCGCTCGTAGTTCTCTGCCTGAATAGCATGTGGCTAATACGAGTTGATAATCGGTCATTATTAGGGCTAGTAGTAGGGTTGGGGTTGATCAATGTGCTGGCTGATGGTTTCGATGAAAAAAATGCTGATTGTGCTAATTTCTGTGGTATTTTGCTGGCACGCGATGAAAGTGATGATCTTTTTGTAGGTGCAGGTACAGATGTGAACGCTGATTCATTATTCAAATTCATAATATCATAACCAGAATGTCAAATGAATGATAAAATGAAAGAGGAAGAAGGGCTGATGGAAATAAGGAGCAAGATGAATATATAATAAAGAAAGGTCGATCTTGTTTATTTATGCTTTATTTGGCGGGATAAATCACTTTTTTTTTTTTTTCATGAGTAACTATTCCAATGTGTGAGTTGTTTGTGTGTTTGTGTATATGTGTTGTGTGTGTGTGTGTGTGTGTGTGTGTGTGTGTGTGTGTGTGTGTGTGTGTGTGTGTGTGTGTGTGTGTGTGTGTGTGTGTGTGTGTGTGTGCGTGTGTGCGTGTACACTGTGATACAACTAGATATACAATCTATTACGAGATTTCCTCTCCATCTCTCCTGCTGCTGATATCAACCGCTATGTTGATCGCTCCACTGTCACGTACACAGCCAATTGCCAGAGTCATTGCCAGCGCATTGCCATCGAGAATGGCTTTACAAATGTTGATGATCATTTCTGATCAGTGTCCAAGGTACCATTTAATTTCTTTGTGTTCCCAACACTATAAATTTGGAGTGACAATTACTTCAACTCCGAGTAGTAAAGCAAGGAGGTGTTGTATAAGATGATGGCAACAACAGCATGGTATCCTATCCTTTCCAACTACACAAAATCTCCACACACCACATGATTGTCCTATATTAAGGAATCCGCACGGGCTCTTTCAAGTCAAACAAGAAATGAAAAAGACTTGGCTGCATCAAATGTGGTAGATTATCAAGCACAAAACTTATCTAGATTGCTGAAAACATACCACATTTCATTCGTTTTTCACTGAATGTATATAATATAGGGAAAGGAGGTTTACTCTCTGCATCAAGTATGATACTATTTGGCGTAATCATAATGAATCAATCAATACAGTGTACAGATTTTTTTTCCTTTTATAGGGTATTCCATTTTGCTTGCAATTATGTAGCTCTTTTTTTTTTTAAAAAAAAATCTGGAGGTAGTGATCTAATAATCTAGTTGACTTTCTTGGTGTAAGCCAAGTCTACCATTGTATGGCTACTCAACACGCTCTTTTATTTTAAATGAATCAATATGATCCAATCGAGTTAAAGTTTGACATTAGTTGGCACGACAAGAAAATGTCAGTTCCTGAATCCAAAATTTGAGATGCTAAATTACATACATTAAACGTCTAAACTCACAATATCAACAAAATGTCAGTACTTCAGTTGACGAATCCAGTGATAGTGGATATTGTTTGCGCACTACATTGCTCTTGTATTTTGAGGCGCTATAGCTTGAACTGAACAAGTATTTGCCGCGCAGATGAACTAATGGAAAGATCTGCAAAACGTAATTGAGTAGACTAGTACTACCTGAGAAAAGTACGAGCCTTTCCTTTGGCAATCAAAAGACCTTCATAAGGTAGATTTGCAGGCTGTCTTTTTTTTTGTGTACGCTATCTTTTTTCTTTTTGTCATCCTTCTTTTCAGCAACCTTTTCTTTTTCTCGTCATGGTTATAGTCAACAGAGAACAGGCCATATGCATGTTTTACTGTGAACCGTATAACGAATCAAACGTCGTCATGTTATCAAAGTTGATTGATGACATGAACAATATCGAAATCTGCTACTCGGAGGATCCAACAGAGCCTATGCTCCTTTGTCAAACAAGAATCAACCAAAATCCAGTCAAATTTTGTATGGAGGAAGGCAGGCTGCCACTCGTATTATGTTATTAACATGCTACCAAAAGACTATTCTACCTAAAACGACTAGTCTATAAGTGTGTGCACAAGAGGGACAAGAAGGGCATGACTACTAATTTGAATTGTTACTGGGGCAGAGAGTGTGTTCTTACGAGAAGAGTCCAGGAGATATTTGACTAAGGATAGTACTGTCAGCACTTGATCAGATGGTTATCGCGAGAGAACAAAGATACTCGACCGAAGCCGCAAGCAAGAGAGAGAGAGCAATCAGAACCACACCAACAACAAAGCAAACGTTCACGTCAGTGAAACCCATCATCCACAGTTGAGAGCAGAAGAGACTCGGTATATGTGATAAATCACATACCCTGGCTACTCCTGACGTTATTCTTCTATGTTGAAAAAAACCTTGGTAAGGGAAAAACATAGCGACTATGTACTCTGTCAACTATCGAGATGGGAGAGACCATAATGTGCGCCACTACCGCACAAAACTAGGGAATCACCCCGTTTGACCAAAAACCTCGTAGAAAAGGGGAAAGAAAGGTGAAAACCCAGTCAAATTCAAAACGTACATCAGCAGAAATATGATTTCGTCGCGTATAATAGAGAATGAAATGGTTCAGGATCGCATGATTCTCAGTAAGATGCACAAAAAAAACGAAAGCACTGCTGATACTAGATAGCATTAATACTCCTGTTACTTTTATACAGCGAATCAACAACAGATTGTGCAATTCCTGAATATATGTTTCTACCTTATGATCCGGGTAACGACCAACTCTATGAAGAGGAAAATGTTACGAATGGCGAAATATTTTCAAATTTATTGCAACACACAGAAATATTCAATGACAAGAGTGTCGCGTCTTTCGGAAACTGGTGTTCATCAAAGAAAGTTGACTTTTTGATGTGCAAGCCCAAAAGGAAACGTTATGCTAATAATTCAATGATCTCTGTTCGGTCGCTATACATTCTAAGGGAAGAATATTTTGCTAAGACGGGATGAATATGTGTTCCAAGAATACAAATGCAATGGATTAATTTTTTTTTTGAAATTTTAGCCGAAATCGTGAAAAGGATTGTTCAATTCCTGACTAAATACCAAGCACAGATTCGAAATTTGAAGAAGCAAGGATTCAAAATACTGGGTTACGCAAGAAAGTCAGAAGGAGACGAAGACCACGAAACACGCATCAAATTATTGAATCTCATGTGTCGACGGTTAAAAGAATGATCGTTGGTGGACCACATTTTCGTTTCTTATAATTCTTAGGCTAATGATCCGTTGGCTGAACGAGATATGAAGCAGAAAGATGAACTGCTCACACAGTTATCTGCGGAAGGAAATAGTCAAGGTAAGCAAATCAGTGTCTCATTGTATCCAAATTTGTTGATTGCTTCTTTTTACTAGATTTGCTGGCGTACATTACGAATACAAAAAAAATTTGCTTGGTAGCATTGGGCTACGCTGGCTTATCAACCAACTGCAATGACCTGTACGGCTTCTTGACGTAAGCGGATAGTTATGAAACCCTATGAAATCAGAATAGCTCGTTAGCTGCTTTTTGTAATAGACAACATCCAAACCTTGAAAAAGTCATGATCGACACCATGCCAACTGAGAGCGTCGTTCATGTCTATGAACGAAATCAGCTATTGAATAAGCCAGAAATGTTAAAAAAAAATTGAATGCAGGAAGAAGCCACATCAACGATCAAAGTAGAAAAGATTTTTGTGTCCAAAATTTGTATGTTTAAATAAAAAAAAACGCGACAAAAATATATGAATTGTGTTTTCTCTCATTCATTGGCATGATTGTTGTCCTTGTCCTTTTTACAGTCCTTCACAAAAGCAGGATATTGATGATATTTGAAGGGACTAGCGTAGAGTGATTTGAGTGAGATTAACATCGGCTCTGTTGGATCATCCGAGTAGCAGATTTCGATATTGTTCATGTCATCAGAAAAGGTTGCTGAAAAGAAGGATGACAAAAAGAAAAAAGATAGCGTACACAAAAAAAAAAAGACAGCCTGCACAAACAGCCTGCATGAAAAAAAAGAAAACTCTTCAAGGGAAGACTATAATAAGTAACCAGATACGAAAAACTTAATGATTTATTAATTGATTCGAGCACATCCTATTTATACTAAATTGTTATCGTTAAATCAATCAATCTATCTCATTGTTTAACCTGAGTCAATACATCGAGTTATGTATATCCAATACCAATCATTATGAAGGATATGATCGTCAGTTCAGCTACGATGATACGATTCACAACCTATCATCGTCACTTGCAATCACAGACTTTCATAGCCAACCATATAGTTCACTTCTTGTTGCACCTTGCGTCCCAACATAGACAGTGAGTAACAATGTAAATCATGATCCGACTACCACTGAGTTACTATTGAGCTCTCGTAGCTTCTACAGACCCAACAATGATGAATTTAGTGAATTCAAGTATAAGTCGTAATTGATCATATCACTACAGGATAAAACTGTCATCAGTTACTGATACAAGTACGGCATGCTTCTGGAATATATTGCCTTATCACCCATCAAGTAGATCTTCCCACTTGATAAGTTATCTTTGCATTACTTCCATTAGTTTGAATAAAGTATGAACCGTGTGATTTCTCAATGTAATAAGAGATTTTAAATACGTACATATTTATATTTGCGAATGTTATAACAGTGTTTTTTTTTTTTTTTTGCTTAATGCTATCTCATATTGCAAGACACATAGACCCCTCCTCAATTGCTGAACACTTGTTATGAAGAGAAGAAACAGATTTACTCAAAAACAGTAGTGCCTCAAACAGTTGAAAATTTTTGCATTGCACATATGTCCTGATTCAAGCTATTCTAATGATCCCTGAAGCAGAATTCCATGACTGGAAATAGCATATATTGAAGCCCCAGGTATAGTACAGTCGTCTCAACCTGCGTGCCCAACCATTGCATCATATAATGCCACAAGTAGCCATTGATTTGTGAATCAATTTGCTCTGTCGTAGAGTGTAGATGCCAGCTCAGGTTATCATAAACCTCCAAAACGATAGTGATGCTTCATTCATGGCAGTCATTTCGACAGACAACAGCTTTGGATGATTGTTAAACGACAGGGCCCCGACTTGATTTGAGATGTTCAAATCTGGAATGTTCGCAATTAGCCACTAATTTAAGAGAATAACGAAAAGCCAAGTATGCAAGTTGCAACATGTGAGTATTGTGTATATTATTGTTTGTGCTTGGATTCCACATTGTCTATGGCTCTTTTTAGATTAAAATGGTAGCACAAGGTGCAATTAAATTAATGAAAGCTTTTATAATATGTCTTTTCTGAATCCATGTCTCCCGTCCTTTTTCCTTGCTTTCATTCAATTTGAAAATGGCACCAAATACGAATCAAATATTATTTATAGTCATATTCTCTCTGCTTGCGTTTATTTTGGTCTTACTGACATATGTGTGCTGGTTAAAGAGAATGAAGATGAGAGCTAAGCGAGACATTTTAGCAGAACAACATCAATTGGAACGTCAGCAGCAAGCACAGAACAACGTACTGACTACAGCAGAGTTACAGCGAATGAAGCCAGTATTATTGCAGCAATTGTATGAAAGAGACATGCAACCAACTACCGCTGCTCCTGCTTACAGTAATCCATTTGATGATACCCCACAGTATACCCCTCGCCCTGATGATCATGTCTTGGTTGATATCCATGACGAAAGAGAAAGAGACGCAACAATTATACATACAGAGCAACAATACAACAATGCCAGTAATAACTCGAGAAGATAATTGCTTCCCGGTAGCGTGTGTGTCTATCTGGTATAGATCAAGAAGATGGAGTGTATTCGGGTGGTGAGAGACAGCAATGTAATTCTTTGGTTGTATGTAGTAGCAATAGAGAATAAATTGGCCAATTGTAAAGTACAATGCATTTGTCTTGATATTAGCAATAGGGATTTATTTGTGTGTTTGCCTGATAGAGTGATATAAAAGCTTGTGATTTCAGAATCCAGCGGTAACTATTGCTCATGTGTCAATAATAGATCAAGATTGATCCACGCACAACCTGCTCTTTGTACCAGTGACTGCCGCACATGTTCCTCTAATTCAAATGTCATAATGAAAAGCAACCAGGAAATATGTTTCTCTTTGCATTACATTTATACCTTGCATAGAATGTTAAGCGTTCATCATTTGAAAAGACCAAGTGTATCCAAGCAGGTGCTTCGAGCTTGGCAGCCACTTCAAACAACGATTCGCCAGCAGGGCTCATGCTGCTCGAAGAAACAGGATGAAAAGCCTGCAGCAATCACCAGTGTCAAATTTTGGTCAGATCCTCTTACATGGCAACGAACAAGAGTCAACACATTAAGGTGAGAACAAGATATAGCAATTCAGCTAGCATCGGTACTCATGCTTGCCCATAGATGTCTCATTGGATGTACCACTGGCGATTTTTCTGCCATGTGGTATCTGCAATACAATTACCCAGAAATGTCTCCCATTTACAGTACAGCAGCAGCCATGGTAAATGTTGCATATTTGATGCTCCTCGTCGGTTTGTTAAATTCTCATATAGGTTGCTGGGATATCAACTTCCTTGGCATTAGAAACAGTATTGCTCAAGCGATCCATGCAAGTTCCATATCCCGCTGCCTTCAAAACTGCCATGGGCATGAGTTTTGTATCCATGCTAGCTATGGAACTGGCAGAGAATGTCACTGATTGGCATTTGATGGGAGGCCAAGTCTTATTCCATGATCCTAAATTCTGGCTTGCAGCAGCAATAAGTACTACAGCAGGTTATCTTGTACCGCTGCCCTACAATTACTGGCGATTGAAGGCGCTTGGAAAGTCATGTCATTAGTCATATCACTTGCTAATAAACTTTATTCAATATGCATTGTATCCAGTAAACTGGTGCTCATCTTATTGAGTGTTTCTATATAAATATATATATATATATATATATATATATATATACATACAAAGTTAGAGATCTCATGTTCATACTACTTGTAAGTCTACTTTTTACCTTCCACATCAGCTAAGGATGTATCCTTTTTCGCGGCAATGAGGTACATTTCGGTATAATCGTTCATGTCATCATCTCTGGAACATTCATCCAGAGAAGATATATTCTCATGCACCACTGTGTTTGCATCGTCTTCTGAGGTGGATGCTCTCAAGGTATTGTAGAGTCGATTACCAGCAATCCAGTGATTTGCTGTCGATCGGGTATAAACTTCACTTGTGCGTGGAATTTTGTTGAAATCCTCTCTCACTTCCAATAGTTGCAAAAGCATCTCATTTGTTACTTGGATAGCTGCCTTCTTTTCCTTGGGATTCTTGGATGTTGATCTTGGGTCGATCATGGTGGATTTGATGTTGAGCGTGGCATTGTCGTAATAGAAGCACTTGTAGTTCTTTCCAAGGTTTAAGCTACAGACAATCAGAGACTGCCTACTCTTCGACTACTTGAGATCACTCACCTCTTTTCTTGCACGCTAGCAATGTTCTCTACTAGCACCTGTGTCAGCGTGTCCAAGTTCTTTTCGCTCATGTAGGTTTCCAAGTCAGTATAAAATATGGGATCTGATAACAGATTTTCTGATTTGGATGTAGCAGGCAGTAGAAAGCTCCAGACCAAGTTGCTCTTGTGCTTGTAAACCAACAAGTAGTATTCTTTCAGTCGATTCTCCTGTGGCTGCTGCTCTGCGGTGTAGGCACTTGATATGTACACTCGCACAAGGTCAGATTTTGTCACTGGCCGTTCCTCTCCATTCATACCAATGGCAGTTGACTCTACCAGCCCTGTCAGATAGATGCCCTGATTTGTGTTTTCAGGCACCAATGATCCATTGGGTGACGATGTTGCTGACGGTATATCCAGAGAAGAAGGTAGCGCTAATGTCGAGTCAATGGAAGCTGTAGCCGAGTTGGGTGTTGCTGAGGAGTTGGCTGTGTCTGTCGATTTGGATCCACCTGATGAAAAGTAGCTCAAGATGTGTGAATGTGAGAGTGATTTTGTAAACTGCTTGAGGCCAGAGACCTTGGTCGAGTCCTTCTTGATCAATGTCATCTCGATGTCCTGCTTTCTCTTTTCTGATTTCGCATGATTTTCTACTTTTTTCAATACATGTTTGCGTAAAGCACACACGTCGTCAATCAAGAGATCGGGCGAGCGATACACGAGACCCCCATCTTGCACGTTTAGCACAAACAGATGGCACATGTTGCTTTCAAAGTGCTCCTTGATGGATTCGTCCAGTCTGTTGATGTTGAGGTAATTAGCACGCAACACGGGCTGCACTGGCACGCCATTGAATACGGCCGAAAAGGTCATGATGTCCAAGCGGTCGAAATCCCACTTCCAAATCCACTCTGAAAAGAACTCTTCGATAGCGTGCATCAACGTCTTTGTGCGCTGGCGGTTGGTTTCTTTTTTGTCGTCATATAATATTGAAGAAAATGTGCCATTTAGCAGCTAAGCAAAATAACCTTAGATATGGCATTGAACTCGTTTGAATACAAAGAGTGGCTACCTTGAATTGCTCGTACCCAATCTTCAAAACTGCTTCCAATGCTGTGTCGTTCAGTTGCGAATCCAAGTATTCCGTCACCAGCTTCTCCTTTCCTTTTGAATCTTTGATTTGCTTTCTCAGAATGCCCAATTCCACGCACATATGCATCCAGAAGCCAGGTTCTGGCTGGAGAAAGATCATGCGGTTCTTTTGCGAGTGCACGTTTTGCGTGGGATGTGAGGGCGAAAATGTGCTAAAGAAAGATGCTGATGAATGCGGCGTTACAGAGTCCATGTTCGGCCTGTTTCTACCTTGTAAAATTAACCAGTGCCTGAGCGAGCCCCACTTGCTTCATTTTAACGTCTGCAGGAACAACCTTCTTGGCTGTATAGTACAAAATCTGGTCTTTGGTGTTTTCTTCATGAGGTCCCAGCGAAGGATTGTATACACAAAAATACGACAAAATGGGTGAATTCTTGCCTAATCGAGGCAACACGGGAGCATCGTCTTTGTTGATGCTCTGAATCTCCTGGCTAGACATGATGCTAGAGAAGAAGAAAAAGAAGAAAAAAACAAAAAAAGAGTAAAAGAGATACAAAGCGTTGCGCGATTACAAAATGGCTGCTTATTACTACCAGATGTTCAAATGAACCACTTTGGATGACCGTCTTTTTCTCAATGCATTCGCATTATCCCTTCAAGATGGCTCTATTCTCGAGGCATTCGATACAAATTTACACTAAAGAGGGTTGGATGTAGCACGGCCATTGTTGACATGGAGGCTGAGTGCTTGATCCCAAAGAGGAGGTGCCTGCCACCAGCCAAATTGCCATGTTCCTTGTCTCAGCGCAAGATGCGAACGAATGATCTAATCTAGCTTCCACAGACGAATGGACTTGCATGAGCACGCTTTTCATATCGAAATAGGCTCAAATGCCAAGTTTGTCGCAGCAAGCTTGCTTTTGCTTGGATGCACCACATGATGATCTCCACGACGACGACAACAACAAATATTAGGATCCATGGTCTCATCATAAGACCAAACTTGTTGTTGTTGCTATCAGCAATTGAAATCATCGGCTAGCACCCTCATTCACATAGCCTTCTGTTTTCGTGCGTCAAATGATGCCTACTGATAAGACAAGAACAACAAGGTTACTGGAGGCAATACCTGACACATGCAACATGTTGCTCTGCCATGAATCAAAAGATGTTGACAGACACTCTGGAGCCGCTCTTTTTTGGTAAGTTATGTGCCATACTGAGAGAGCCTATCGTCATCAGGCAAACGCCAACTAACGACAACAAAGGGGGAGGGGGGACGGCGTATGGGGAGAGGAAAAGCCTAAAATAGGCTATAAGAAGGCCTCTTTTTTCCGCCTTTTCCCCCTTGTTCTCTCTACTTTTTCTCTTTCACAAAATGATCATCAACGAATATAGAGTCATCAACAACTGCACAGAGGAAGAATACCAAGTTGGTAAGATCAGAGACGGGTCTATGTGCAGTGTGCGCAAGACACTCACCTGCTTGCTTTTGAATAGCTCAATTATACGCCACTGCATTGGCTTCCAAGGAGAATACAGGAGGCGGAGAAGGTGTAGAGGTCATCAAGAACGAGCCCTATGAGAAAGAGAATGAAAAGGGTCAATACACTTACAAGATCTTTCGTCTTGCTTCTCGAGTGCCTGCTATTGTGAAGGCAGTTGCACCCGCAGGCGCACTTGATTTGTATGAAGAGGTTTGTAGGATGAGGAGGAGGGCTTTTAAATGGAGACAATGCTAAATTACGCATTCATAATTTCGTCATAGGCATGGAATGCATATCCTTATTGCAAAACTGGTAAGTTGCTTGATCTTGGCCGTGGGTGATTGATTCACTGACCATCTCCATCCAAACTGTAGTACTCAAGGTAAGAATATTAGTGTAAACGAGGAGGGGGGGGGGTTCACAAAACTTGACATCATATTATTGGCTACTATTAGAATGGTTACATGAAGGATCATTTTTCGATTGTTTATGAAACATTACATGTCAATGGATCACGCGGCGAGCTGGAGAACGCTTTGAAGATCTCAAAGGAAGGCAAGTAGAAGCACGCTGATTGCATCCGCTTGTTTGACTGACGCAGCGTATAGATTTGAAAAAGAGAAATGTCATCATCATTGATATCGCCAACGATAAGATCAGTCCCAAGGATTACAAGCAGGACGAGGATCCCAAGCTTTATCACTCTGAAAAGACAGGTCGTGGCCCTCTGACAGATCCTGAATGGCAAAAGAACGTTGAGCCTGTCATGACGTGCTATAAGCTTGTCTACATTGAATTCAAATGGTTTGGCATCCAAGGCAAGGTAGAATCCTTTTTGGCAAAGACTGTCCAAACACTGTTCACAAAGTTCCACAGACAGCTGTTCTGCTGGACTGACAAGTGGTATGGTATGACTATTCAAGATATCCGTGATTTGGAGGCACAAACCAAGGAGGAATTGAATGCAAAGAGAAACGAAGGCGAAGTGCCTGTCAGTTCTTTAGACGATATGTAGAAAAAGAGCAAGAGAGAAACGCAAATTTGTATTTAAATGAATAAAGAGCTTATCATGGCTGGTCGCATTCGCACTGATCACAAAGCATAGTATGCGCATACCACTGTCTTATACTGCCATTCAGCTATAACCAAGCATCTGTATTTTATACGTGTGCTAGTAAGGCCCATCTTCACACTGTAAAACAAAACGCCCTTGCTTGCATTACAGTGCATGGCTGGTTCCAATTGCCACTGCTGCAGCCATCATCCATTAGAATCACGCATCCTCCATCAACACGAATTGAGGTACACCACATCCACCGTCTCAAGTCCAGTGTCTATCACAACCAAAACCGTTGCATACATTGACACAGCTCCTGGATAGCTCTGTCTTTTTCATGGCAACAAGCTCCTTTCTCCTTACATCTTGCTTGTAAGAGACAATACCAATGCAAAAAGGCCATGTTTTACGCCACTGAGTTTCAAGAAGCACATTCATCCTTACATGCCTGGGGGGGGGGGAGGGGGTGTACATCAGGCCCCACTTTTTAAACCAAGGGAGCGCGGGTTTGGCCCAAGCAAAGAACGGCTTAGTCTTTTTTTTTTCTTCTCTCTTTCTCTTACTAGTTAAACTCGTCTCATTCTAATCAACATGCCTTGTATGCAACTTTATGTATGGGGACCTGCTTTTAATGCACCCTCCATTGATCCCAAATGTATTGTCATCGAGTCTTATTTACGTCTTGTACAACAAAACTACACAATTGTCAAATGCAACGATCCTCAACAAAGTCCAACTGGTAATTACTTGTCATTAGGGGGGTTAGAGTGATTTCACTGATGGGTATGCTGTGTCGCTATAGGTGAATTGCCTCTGTTGAATGATGGATCTGCTTGGGTTGCTGGTGTGGACCGTATTCTCAATTACTTGTCTCAACGTGATAAAGATGCCAACAAAGACCTCAGCGCAGAACAAAAGGCAGATTACACTGCGTAAGAATGGCCGAGCGAGGAATCAAGGCATCAACTCATATTTTTCTACTCTAGTTATTCTGCATTAGTCCAGGATAAGCTCTATGATTGCATGGTAAGAAGCTGTAGCTGGAGAAAGAGAATCCACCATGATACTAATGGCCCTGTGTGTGGATAGCTTTATACATGGTATGCAGATTCCACCAATTTCATCAAACATATTCGACCCACCTACGCAACACTATTATCCTTTCCTAATCGATACATTGTGCCTATCCAACTCAAGAAAAGTGCCAAAGCTAGATTAGAGAAATACAATGTCGAGATCATCAGAGATGACGTTGGATTGCCACAAAACGAAAAGGAGGAGATGAAGGAGCTGTTGAAATCTGGATGGCATCATGTAAGAACTTGGACGCACACAAACACAAGGCAGCACACTAAAACGAGCGTGTACACTAGATGTTCCAATTGGCCAGAGAGACTTACGGCATTTTACAATCACAATTGGGTGAGCAAGATTACATGTTTGGCGAGCAAGCGACTACATTGGATTGCATTGTATTTGGCTATTTAGCCTTGCATTTATATCCTGATTTATCGCACCGAAGACTGCAGCACATTCTCACCAACGAATACCCAACACTAGCCCGCTACTGCGACAGAATGAAACAACTTTTATTTGAGCAAGAACTCGTCGAATCTGAAGCTGCAGAGGATGTCCCTTCGCTCTGGAGAACATTTAGAAACAACCCGATGGGATTCTTGGGTACAGTCAAAGACGACGTTGTTTCATACATGGGCACCGAGACAGAGGATAAAAAAGAAAAGAGTCAATCCCAAGTCGATTTTGAGCGCAAGCGTATTTGGTCTATTGCGGGTGGTGTTACATTCTTCTTGGCCTATGTTATATATAATGGCATTGTGAGCATAGATTTGAGCGGTGAAGAGGACTACGAGTATGAATATGAAGAGGAGTATGATGATGAATAGAGACACTTGTTGGTGTCAATAAACGCAATTTTTATCTTGTTACAACATTTGGATCAATGGTATCGAGGATGCTTTGTATGTCGTAATAGAATCTTAGTGACTGCACTGCCTTCTTTTCTCGCTCTGTCAGATGGATTTTCCCTTGATCCGAGTCGCATTTCTTTTGTAGCAATTGTGCCAGGAACTTGTATTTCGTGTCATCGTAATCAAACATGTCCATGTAGTCGATGGCCTATGGTTGACAGCACGGATGAGCACTGTTATTCGCAAAATATCAGCTAAAATCATACCTTCTCCAGCAATTGATCTTCTAGACCAGGAAGCGTAGATTGAATCGCTCTGTTCAACACTGCTAGCCTCTCTCTGTCCAGACGGCATTTCTGTAGCCTCTCCATAATGTCTTTATCGTTGTACGGCACATCTGCTGCTGCTGCTGAGGGGGAGCAAGTTGGTGTTGATTCACTTAGGTCGAGCAGCAGTGGTTCGTCGCTTTGCTGTTGCTGTAGTTGCTGGCCAGTGAGCAGCCTATGTCTTAGGCGGATCCATCTTCTTCGACGAACAAATGATCGAAAGTGTTTGTAATTACCTGATTTGCGTGTATCAGTATGTTTTCCACCAGTTGTCTATTTTTAACGCTTGTTTATTTACCATGCCACACAGCGCCGTGGAACTTTAATGCATACTGCCAGCCCGCTTCATCGACATCTTCAGTCATATCAATCATCCAATCTTTGCTCACCCACTGCCAAGTAGGATCTGGTAGTTGGTAGTTTTCTATATTCATAGGCGTGAATCTTTTCGACCGAATTAGCACGTGTATGCTCTGCATGTCCCAATTCAGCATATTACCTCATATCGGCATCACACCATGGATTGGGGTCAAACTGCAGAAGCCTATATACAAGTGTTGGTTGCTTCAAACCTACTAGACAGATGAGATACACTTACGTTTTGCTACTGTAGCCTACAGCCAGCGATCTTTTACAATCAAATGAGTCACTAGACATATATAAATGCACATGTTGCTATACTGTACCCTCTTTGACATTCAAACAGCACATCATAGGCATATTCCTCGCACTTGTGATCGTGGTATGGCAATGGAGGCAATGATAAAGCAGGGTTGTTGCTCGATTTCGATACTCTTGATTTATGCACCAGCTCTCTCAGCGACTTTCTGATTCTAAACGGCCTCTGATGCTTATCGTGGTCTTGCTCTACAGTCATGTTTTAGTGCTAGTAGTGGAATACAGATGGAAAAAGGGAAAAAAAAAACGGAGTTGCTTCAATAGATATGATTTATATGGTTGGAGAGTTTCAGTAAATTACATAAAAAGGGGGGGGGGGGTGAAAAAGAAAGAAACCAAGGCAGAATACCCCATCTCTCTCTCTCTCTCTCTCTCTCCTTCATTCCCTCTATTTATTACGTCAAACAGTAATTTGTATCTTACTGTTTGATTATAAAAAGCAAGAAAAAGCTAAAAGTTTAATTCAGCATCTCTCTTTCTCTTCACTTTTTCTGTTTCTGATCCCAATGTTTAATACGATTCCATGCTCGGTGTCACCGATGAATACCACATCTTCGTTGCAAAAGTAAGTGGCAGTGTGCGCTGTCTACTACTTGTAAATGTGCTTATCAGAGTAACTACAGACGAAGATCAAAATCGCTGGATAATATCATCATCAGAAAGAAGGGCGATCGACTGTCCTGCTATCAAGACACATTCACATCGACATCGCCCATCGTAGCCATTCATGATTTACCACCAAAGAGAAGGCACAGCATACACGAGCCGCATCAGCGATTAGCCACCATCTACGGTTGGGTAACCACTGCAAAATCAAGGTAAACAATTTGCTGTTATTTTTACTCCTTGATTTTTTATTGTGTATATAAACATTCCTCCAAATCAGTCATAGTATGCATGAATCAAATCGGCGCCTGCACACTTCTCAATCGTTTTCGCATATTCCTGCTGCTGCTGCTGCTGCTGCTATAGAAGTTGATTCTGTCATGGGCTTGCCAGATCAGACTACCAACAAGCTCTCTAAAATGCTGGAAAAAACCAAAAATATCTCACTACTGTTTCCTAATAAAACCATCACTGGCATCAGCAGCGACAACAGCCACTCACATTATCACCACCACCACCACCACCACCACCACCCCCGTCAACATGTGGACCAGATTCTACTGGATCCAATGCAGCAACAGCATCAAAATGATGAATCCTGGGTACAACCAATATCAACGGTACAGACGCTAACATCACTACAACACGCAGACGCAGTAGTAGTAGTAGCAGAAAATAGACCACCCCCTTTACCTATTGAAAATGATCCGCATATATTTGATTTACTAGCTAAAGATACATCCAGGTTCATTCACTATGGCAAATCAGATGCTACCATTACGTCGGCCACAGTAGAAAAACTGATAGAGAAACTGACTCGTGAAATGGGTATGTATGTTGCCTAGCAACGAGCACTAGGATCATTTGACCCTGACTCAGTTTTCTCTATAGATAATGAATTCATAATGGACTTTTTCTTGACATTTCGACAGTTTTTGACACCCATCAAGCTCTGCAAACTGCTGATTTTGAGATTTCGCTGGGCGCTGCTACAAGACGATGATGAACGTCGATTAATTCGTATAAGGTATTAATTGTAAATTGCTTGATGCCATTGCTGTTTAGTTTAAGGAGTGTCTCGCTTATAGGACATTTGTAGTCATTCGTCATTGGTTAACTCATTACTGGACCTACGACTTTACCACATCTCGCACACTACGCTACGTCTTGAGCACATTTCTTACGCAGCTACAGTCAAATCCAGTGATACTGGCATCACCTCGCGATGATAGAATAGTCAAGAATTTACGCAATGTATTGAAAAGACAACGCAAGTTCTATCAGCAGCGGGTGGATCCCCTTCAGCAGCAGGAACAAGATGAAAATGGAAAACTACCTTCCAGAAAAGACAGTGCCATTGGTATTTCATCCTGCAGAAACAGCCTTCACCTCCACCACCACCCAGACAGCAGCGCTCACAGCAACACACCTGTACCTTCCTTGTCTTCATGGACTACTAAAATGAAGAGATCGCTCAAGAGAACAGTGTCCATTCGACAGTCGCAGTCCAATGCAACAGCACGACCATCTACTTTATACTCGACCGTCAATAATGCACCGTGTAGCTGCCACCTTACAGATTGTTCACTTAGTACTAGCAGCAGTGTCAGTCTAAACAACATTCAGCATAAAGAGCCATGCACGATGCGCCCTTCTTTTACAAGACCACCACCTGCACTTCACACCACCAACCGCTTTTTTCGTGCTTCCAATGCATCGACGACAACACTCTCACACTACAAATCCATCGTTCTCAAGTACCGTTCAGAAGTCATTGCACAGCAATTTTGTTTAATCGAGCGGGCCATGCTTCAGAACGTCACTTGGGATGAACTGGTGGATCTCAGGTGGAGAAAGCGGTCTGCTCAGAGAAAATCGTTTGTAATTGAAATGACTACATTGGATGATGATGTGCCTGTAGGCGTAGACCAAATGATCGGCTTCTTCAACATGGTAAGTGATGAATGCTGGCTTGATGCGTTGTGCCGTTTTCTAATTCATATATGAAATAGACCTGTCAGTGGGTTGCGTCTGAGATTGTGCGTTCACAGCAACTAGACACAAGAGTCAAAGTCATTGAAAAGTTTCTTCGCATCGCATTGAAATGCTATCACCACCGAAACTACAGCACGTTGATGCAGATTCTACTGGGCCTACAATCGCCTGCTGTATCACGGCTAGAACGCACCTGGCAAAAAGTGGACCACTGTCAAATGGAGCTGTTTAATCAACTCAAGGAAATGGCAAAACCCTTTCGCAATTGGAAGAATGTACGCGACTGCATGACAAAAGCAACAGAAGAAGTAGCTGAATCATTTGCAGTGGAAAGTGTGCTGACAGGGAGCCTCAAAGAGTTTGACAACACGCACGGCTGTATACCCTTTCTTGGCCTGTATTTGTCTGATTTGGTTTTTGTGGCTGAATTACCTACGTTTATAGGATCTGCGCTGCCTGATGAGGAGGAAGAGGAGGAAGACACGGAGCAGTTGAAAAACGACGACACGGATTTATGCGAGAGATTAAGTCATCACCTTGTCAATTACAACAAATTTCGAATCACAGGTAAGCCGGTTCATCGATAAGCGACGTATTTTATTTCAGTAATTAACACGACTATGGTATATAGCATCTGTTGTCAAGCACGTACTAGCATTTCAAGTGCTATCCAGAGCCTACAATTTTAAAGTGCATCCAACACTCCATACACATTTAAGGTCCATCCGCTCGCTGGACAATGCAGACATTCGAAAAGCCAGTTTTCTTTGCGAAGAGTAACGCTTACAGTTCCTGTGGATGTTGAGCAGATTCAATCAGTTCCTTACTGCCAGCATTGCTGGTATTCTTTATAAAACATGCTCGAAATGCTTGCATTTCCTTTTTGCATTTTCTCCAGTCTTTTGTATCAAAAAAGCACAATTGCAAATCTTCGTTTTCTTGATAGCAGCCAGTTTTCTCGATTCTCGCGTTGTAGGGGTCGTCGTCCTCTTCTTCTACTTGCTCGATGGCGGGTGCTTTGTCTGCTGTGGGAGTCGTGCTGTTACTGTTGCTCATTTCTCTCTGTTGTGTGTATATAGACAAGTGTCAATAAAAATGCAGAAAAAGAAAAAAAAAAAAAAAAAAAAAAAAAAAAAGGCAAATTGCAAGGGCTGTAGTGATGAGATGGGATTTGACATTTATGCGCAGTCTAAACATGTTGCATTGATGTGTACCCTGAGTGTATGTCTATAAGCGTTTATTGCGAGCAAGTTGTATGCATACAATGATGATAAATCTGCCATAGATTGCAAATGGTATATAGTGTACATGAAAAGAAAAGTCTCATTTGCGTATCAACTGGTAAATATTGACACCTGTGTCTTTGTAGATGGCATCGGGTTCATCTTCATTCATTATCCAACCCTCTATAGAGCTCTTCTTTGTTTGCCTAATTGCGGTGGCCGTGCCAATAGCAGGCATAGCCGATACAGTGATGATATCGAAGCGTTGTGCACACAAATCAAAAAACTTTTGTTCATCGCACAATGCTAATCCTCGTCGCTTATAACCCACGTAGATCTCTATTTGATTCTTGTTCTCATCACTTAACCAGCTCAGCGTTTGTACCAGACTGTGAAATGTTGAGGGTCTATACAGCACATCTGATGCAATCACTGTATGCAACGGACCTTCTAGAAGCAAATTTTGCACATCTTGGTAATTGCCCCATTCCAGAGATTTGACACTCGTGTAACCTTCCAGGTGGTTGTAGGCGCGGTTCCGATATATTAAATTCAAGGCATCTGGCAGATCAGTCAAGGTGATGTGTGGCATTGAGTGTTGATAGTTTTTGTAAATGTTTTTGTATAATGCTGCTATCAACAGACCAAGACATCCAGTTCTACACATCAATTTAGGAAGGCTATATATATATGTATATATACACACGCGCACAGATGATTGTTAATTACCCTGCACTCAGATCCACCAAACCACGCTTTTGAAAGTAACCTGGATTATGCTTGATTCTGTCTGCGATCATTTGAGATAAAACAAGCGCAGAGTCCCACATTTTGCCTGGTGTCCCCAAACTCCAGTCCTCCTGAATGATGAGAAACGAGCTGTCCTGCAGTCGGTAGCCATGGTATATTGTATTGGACATGTTTTGCTGTTTCCACTGATCGTTCAGGAGCGGCTGTTGTGATGATGCGAGTTGCATGGTCTGTTCTTCTATGGATATAGGGCCAATCATCAAGGGAAATGCCATAATGGAGGAGGGTTGCTGCTGTTTGGGGTATATCTGAATGTAGTATTTGGCTTTGATGGAAGCAGTAGACGAACTGACGTAGCCTTCATCTTGCAACGACACCATGAATTCTAAATCACCCACAGCGTCATTTTGGAATCCAGCGATATCTGACGCTGTCGTGGTATCCCATGCATCATGCTGTAGTGGTCGACACTGTATCAGGCACTCTTTGCAAGGGATGATGGATTTGTTCTTTTCCACTAGTAAATAACACCCCACTTCCAACCAGCACTTGCTTTTTTGTTGTCCAGTCAGTGACAGATCCAGTTCGTTCACCAACTTTAAATTAATTCTGTACCATTGTTTGGATATCACATTGGTGGAATAAGGCGTTGCCAACAGAATTCTATACAGTGCAGAATAACGTTGCAGATGGTCAAAGTAATCGACGTTTGAGTCCAAGGTTGCTTGTGGTGGGTATGATGCTGCATCAGCATGATTCATACTAGGAATGGAATCAAGTAGCGAAAACACGAGATTGGAAAAAGAGAGAGAGAGAGAGAGAGAAAAAAAGAAGGAAATGAAGTTGAGTTTATTTCTTAATTCTTGTGTGTGTGTGTGTGTGTGTGTGTGTGTGTGTGTGTGTGTGTGTATGTGTGTGTATGTGTGCTTCTCCTATTCAAGAAATAATGGTGCCGGGAGCATTTTGATCTTTTCGAAGGTCCAAAATAATGCCCTTCATTCTAGAAACATCTCTGGTAGGATAAGCTGCTTTGGCGTTCGAGATGTCGAATTCTCGGGAAACACTATTCCAGATGTTGGTCGAGGCAGATGACTCTTCACGGCTCTTTAGCATCTTGTCTTCACGCTCTCTACACTACCATATTAACACTTGACTCATTGCACTACACACTGAGTCTATACCTGTTTTCCTCAATGGCCTTTTGCTTCTTATCGTTGTAATCTTCGTAGAATCTATCAATATCCTCTCTTGCCTTGTTCAGCACTTCTTGTTTCTTGATGCTCTCCTCTTCATCTCGCTTTGCAATCACTTGCTTTTGCTTTTCGCGCCATTGTCTATACCACCATCATCAGCAAAGAGAGAGAGAGAGAGAGAGAGAGATCTCCTTGATTTCAGTTATTGCCTTACCTCACTACATCAGGCTCTTCTTCAGGTAGCATGGCTTTATGAAAAGCCTAATACATGCTTCAGTAAGTTAATCAGCCAAACCTAAGGAGATTGATATATTACCTTGGAAGTCTCTAAATTCTCGGCCTTTGGGTAGCTAGACTCAAACACCGAATAGTCATTTGCAGGTGTGGAAACAGCACTGCTAGGCGACATGGCACCATACTGACTCAAGGCGCTGGAGCGACCGAGGTCAGGTGTGGCTGTGAAAGAGGTAGGGGAAGTAGTATCATCGAGTGTTGTAAAGATATCAGCGTCTCCACCCAGCACAGCTCTTTCGCGAGCAAGGAAATCAGCAGTGGGATCGTTGGAGGAGGAGCTAAAGTCGCCGAAATCAGACATTAAGTTCTATATGTATAAGAAAGAGGAAAGAAAAGAAAGACCAAAGCAGAAAAAAAAAAAAGACCAAGGATTATATTCTGGTCATGTACATGGTAACACCAATCTTTCTTGTGTACCTGTGTTTATGGGGATCACTGGAGTGAAGCTTGGCTTTCTATCAGCATCTGCAATCTTGCAAGGAGCCTCACAGTCGCTCATTTTAAACCAGCCTGCGATGTTAGCAACAAAATTTATTAATCTAGATATTAAATGCAGTTGCATCTTCGTACCAAAAGGTGCGAAATCTGCACTTTTCATTCCATTTTATATGTGCATAGACACATGTCCTATCTATTATGATGTTCTTGCCAGCCAAAGCCAGTTCAATCCCCGACTTACTCATTTTCTTGAAATGGGAATATTTGATGAATTTGCGACTTGTTTAAACTATTTTGCGAGATTCGACTATATATGGTGTGCGAATTAACTCATGCTCCTTTAAGCTTTCTTGGAGTGCTTTTCAAGGCGCACCCAATGGTACCAAGTAAGATAGATGTTTTGAATAAACTTATTGAATGATTAATGAAAATATGAAAACAGGTTTCTGGCCAAAATGTCGAAATTTTACATATCAAAGTCCCACAAAGACGATTTCAGAGGTTGCTTTGGATCGGTAGAAACATTTTGATTCAAGATATACCATAGTAAAAGTCTTCCTTATCAGGGTGAAAAATGAGATTGTTTGATTTTCAATGAAAACTATGAGGGGTACCTCATGCTTTTTGGTCGATTTTCAGTCATGTTTTTTTGATCCTCAAAAAATTGAGCAAAGGTGTCAGAAAGTAAGTACTAATCAAGAGCAATCGTTTGGTGCAATTCTGACGGTTTAAAACGGCTTCCAACACGAGAAATTAGCGATCAAAGACATCCAAATTTCGCTCTGATTTGCATGTTTTGGGCTAATAAGAGGTAAAGAAAATATGATGCCTGATTGTGTAGTATAATCGATTCTATTGAGATAGAGGCGGAGCCTCTTAAAACAGTCAAGTACACAATACGATCGTATGTTATCACGATTGCTGAACAGTTGAATGCACAATAAGCATTTATTACTGCCGCATCATCAGATGAATATACTGTTTAACGCAATAATTGCTAGACTACATTTATTTGTTTAACAAATACTTCTTTACAAGCTGAATTGGCACGCGCAACACAACAGTGTTCATAATATTTGGCTTTTGTAAGAGGTTAGACGATGATAAAGGCACTCTTTCATCCTTTTCGTTAAAAATAAAAATTTCTTTGGTAGGCGTAATCTCGCATTTGATGGTTCGATTTCCCAGATCAATAAAGCTCTTGTGTGTTTTGGCAGTTGCATGCTTGTCTGATATCTTTTGAGCCATCAATTTGGCATTCGAAACAAAATGATCAAACGCCAACTTCTCAGTCATATAGTTATCCCATGCCTTGATATATTCCAATACACTCATGGCTGCGATTCCAACTAAGACCATACATATCAGCCGATGGCGCTGATACACATATGCAAATCCCTTCCACATTGGAATCTTGACACTGTTGTCCTCCTCAAGAATAGAGTCATACAGAGGCCTTAGCATAGGGGACCTCAACATGTAGGCTACTTGGTTTGTGATTTCAAACTTTTCCTTGGCATCCATCTCTACGGACGTCTCGGGGCTGAGTATTCAGATTGTTAGTCATCTCAATGCCAGTGAGATCACCAAGTAACGTCTTACTGTAGTTTTAATACGAGTTGTCTATGTGCTTTCCCAATCTCCAGTGCGTCTGCTGTCGGCTAAAAATCATCAATCAATTACTCGTATTGTGTAGCGTTGGTAGGTCAATAGCATACCTCTATACCCAACCACTGATAGAAATTTGTCTGGTTTCTGCTCATGCTTGTTGCCAGCTCAAACAGCTTAAATTCATCTAAATATACAATCAACACGTCAATATACACAATAGCATCAACCCCCACCCGCAGCCTTACCTTCTCTCCAGTTCCATGCTCTGATAACTGGAGGAATAACAAGACGAATAAAGAGAATGAACGCTATGATCTGCAGAGCAGTTTTGTTTCTTTCAAAAAACATGAAAATAAGGCAACAAAGAATGGTTACTCAGGCCAACAAAAGAAAAATAGTTGAATCCACGGTAAAAGTGCGGCTATTTTGATTAGCCATAAGCATTTGGAAGGTAGTAATAATAGAGAAGAGAGCAGAACCTTTGATCATGATGAATCACATTGAGCCATTGGTTAACCATGAGCTCCTTCTTTACCACAGTAAAACCGAAACCTATTGAATGGTTGACCTTTTTTTTTCAAATGATTTGCATTATGTATCACAAGGGTTCTTGTTCCCTCTGCCTCATGTCTGGGAGAAATGACGATGATTTCATGTATGAATGAGGCAAGGCGGAGATGTGCATTTCTACTTTTGGGTTTGCTGTTTACCAACAACCTCTTCTTTCTTTTTTTCTTCTTTTTCATCTCACTTCAACACAAATACAATGTCATCAAATTGGGAGTCGCAACTGACTGCCAGAGAGGTTAATGCCTACAAGCAGTACTTTCAGGCTGCTGCCAAGAGCCAACCCAATGTAGTCTCTGGCATGGAGGCTGTCCAGTTCTTTGCCAAGTCTGGATTGCCCAACGATATACTATCTCAAGCAAGTATCAGCGAGCGATAAATCACATACCAAATTGCTAATGGATTGTCAATAGATTTGGGAAACTGCTGACGAAAAGAATCTCGGGTATCTCACGCCAGACACATTTGCTATCGCACTCAAACTTATCGCTTGTGCGCAAAATAAGATTCAGGCAAAAGAGCCATTGTTTTCGACTGGTAAGCGAAAAAGAGTGATTCGGATTGAATTTCGCTCTTAACTCGTCCCCATCTAGTGACACCATTGCCCAACATCCAAGGCGTCCAGGTGATCCACTCATCCAGCAGCAGCTTAAACTCGACTACATCTTTTACTGCCGCTATTTCGCCACAGGAAAAGAAGAAATATCAGTCCATTTACCATAGCCAGCAGCCGACACCGAATGGCATTCCTGCTGAAACTGCCAAAGCCCTTTTTGTTAAGTCGAGATTACCCAATGACCAACTAGCTCAAATTTGGTAATGTATAACGAGCAAGAATATAGATATATATATAGACATTAACATCGAAAATAGGAATTTGGCCGACATTCGTAAATGCGGATATTTGGATGAAACTGAATTTGTAGTCGCCATGCATTACATTGCTAAACTTATGGACAAAACATTAACATCACTACCCTCTATTCTACCGCCCGACGTCTATCTAGCAGCATCCTCGGACAACAATGCAACACATCCAAACTTGGTGTCATCGCCCAAGCCCATCATGTCGTCTCCATTAATGCAATCCAGGGCCAATAAAATTGACAGCATTGGCAGCATGGCATTTGCTCCTTCATCGGCACCTCAACAGCAGCAACAGGAATGGGATATTACGGCTCATGAAAAGGCCCAGTACGATACGTTTTTTGCAAAACTGGATAAAAACCATACAGGCATTATTCAAGGCACTGACGCAGTGGACTTTTTCAAAAATTCAAAATTGCCAGAGTCTGATTTAGCAAAGATTTGGGATTTGGCGGATATTGGCAGCACTGGATCACTGAATGCAAACGAATTTGCCATCGCTATGCATCTCATTCACAAGAAACTGACTGGCCAAATGCTGCCTGTCGTATTACCTCAGTCCTTGTTTCCACCTCCAACGCTAAAAATGCCTTATTCACTCGATCAGTCACTGCCTGCGAGAAATCTCACTAGCTCATCCTTTGCAGCAGCTGCAGCAGCACAACCACCTCCTCCTCTCCAAGCCGAGGAAGATCTACTAGGCGATTTTGGAAACGAGAATTTGACAGAAGAGACAAACAAGGTTAATTTGCTACAAAATCAAATCACATCTACCAAGAAGTCAACCGCGGATATCGAAGCACAGCACAAGAAGGCAGTTCAATCACTTGGATTTTTGCGTGAAAAGAAGCAAGACCTCCAGAGCCAAGTAGACAATCTGAAGAAGCAAAGCGAAACAGAGGCCAGCACCTTAAACACTTTGAAGGCTGATTTGGAAAAGGAGCAACCTACATGGGCCTCTGCACAATCGGATGTCGACACTGCTGAAGCAAAACTCAAACAAGTGCAAGAGGAATTGGCTCAAGCTAAGCAAGAGCTTAAAGATGGTCAACTAGAGAACGAGAAATTACGCCGCAGTGTGCACAATGTTCAAATGGAATCCATGCGTTTGGAGAAGGAATTGGATGCTTTACATGAGGAGAATAGAAAGAAGCAAGAGGCTGCTGCTGCTCGTCGTAAGAGAAGAGAGGAAAAGGCTGCTGCTGCTGCCGCTGCTGAGCTCAAGCGAAAACAAGAAGAAGAGGAGGCTGCTCGCAAAGCTGAAGAAGCAAGATTGGCTGAGGAAGCACGCCTAGCCGAAGAGGCCAGATTAGCAGAAGAAGCTCGTAAAGCAGAAGAGGCCAGATTAGCCGAAGAAGCCAGATTAGCAGAAGAGGCTCGCAAGGCAGAGGAAGCTCGTTTGGCTGAGGAAGCTCGCAAAGCAGAGGAAGCTCGCAAAGCAGAGGAAGCTCGCAAAGCCGAAGAAGCTCGTAAAGCAGAGGAAGCTCGTTTGGCTGAAGAAGCTCGTAAGGCAGAGGAAGCTCGCTTGGCAGAAGAGGCTCGCAAAGCCGAAGAAGCACGTCTGGCAGAAGAGGCTCGTTTAGCAGAGGAGACTCGCAAGGCAGAGGAAGCTCGCAAGGCAGAAGAGGCTCGTTTAGCTGAAGAAGAAAGGCTCAAGGAAGAAGCTCGTAAAGCAGAGGAAGAACGTTTGGCTGAAGAAGCTCGTAAGGCGGAAGAGGCACGCCTAGCTGAAGAAGCTCGTAAGGCGGAAGAGGCACGCCTAGCTGAAGAAGCTCGTTTGGCTGAAGAAGCTCGTTTGGCTGAAGAAGCTCGTTTGGCTGAAGAAGCTCGTTTGGCTGAAGAAGCTCGTTTGGCTGAAGAAGCTCGTTTGGCTGAAGAGGCTCGTTTGGCTGAAGAAGCTCGTAAAGCAGAAGAGGCTCGTAAAGCAGAAGAAGTTCGCAAGGCTGAAGAAGCTCGTTTAATTGAAAAAGAAAGACTCAAGGAAGAGGCTCGTAAAGCAGAAGAAGCCAGATTGGCAGAGGAGGAAGCTCGCAAAGCAGCAGAGAAAGAGGAAGAAGAAAGGCTAGCTGCTGAAGCACGATTAGCCGAAGAAGCCAAGCTCAAGCAAAAGCAAGAAGAGGAGGAAGAAGCGGCTCGTATTGCTGCCGCCAATGAAGCAGAAGCAGCTCGTAAACGGGCTGAAGAAGAAGAGCGTATTCGACTTGAACAAGAGGAAGAGCAGACAAAACAGGCTCAATTAGCTAAAGAACAAGAGGAGAAGCGATTAGCCGATGAGAAACGTGCTAAATTGGAGAAAGAGCAGAACGATTTGAATGGATCAAAGCTTACCAAAATTGCTGCTGTAGGCGCTACTGCTGCTGGTGCAGCTACTGTTGCTCATCGCCTGTCAGAGGAAAGAGGTATTTCTGCTACTGCTACTGCTACTGATTCAGAACCCTCTGACCCCAACACATTGGATATGGTAAGATTAATTTATCGATACAGAGTGTGCATTTTTCATTAATGAAATATCGCTTAAAAAGCAGGAGAACGTGACCAAATCAGATGAAAATAACGATAATATGATAAGAGATTTAGCTGCTGCAGTCCCTGCTTCTGCAGTTGCTGCTTCCAACATGGATGGTGCTGGCACCAAACTAAACAGTAAAGCTAGCGAAGAAGTGCTGACAGATGAAACGGAGAGTATGGATGATTTCTTTGATGCCGAGGAGGATGGAACACCTGCTGTCCCACGAAGCGCTCCTTCTGACAAGCAACAACAAGACCGTGCTGCTGCCAATGCGACGCCAACTGACGAGAATGAATTTGTCATGATTGACCACCCTGCTGTTGTACCTGAAATTCATGCAGAGACCAGTCCCAATCCAGAAAGCAATGATCCTGCTACTACCACCACTACCACTGTTCCAACTGCACCTATGGATAACCTAGAAGCCACTCAATTCAGGGAAAAGCAAGCCCCTGTAACAGACGCTAATAAACCGGTAATCGCGGAGACCGCTCATCAACCCGTTAAGGAAAACTCGACTCCCTTTGATGCCGTTTTTGGTGTCAACCAAGACCAACAACAACAACAACAACAACAACAGCAACAACAACAGCAACAGCATGAACAAGATGAACCTGTTATGGTCAGCTCTCTTTCTAGCTCAGAAATATCTGATCCTTTTACCGCAAGCACAAACAGTAGCACGCATCGTGTTGCACCACCACCACCACCACAATCCAGACGCAGCGCATCAACTACAACAACACCCTCATCATCTACTCAACATGCCAAGAAGCCTCCTGCCCCACCACCATCTCGCTCTCAGGTAGCAGCAACAGTAGCTGAGCCACAAGACTTTGATGCCATCTTTGGTACGCCTGTGCCACCACCACCACCAGCAGCAGCAGCAGCAGCAGCATCCTCAGCGTATTCAATGCATGATGGATTTGAGAGCGACGATAACGATGAATTTGATACATACTTTTCAGATCCAAAGTTTGCCAACAACAACAACAACAACAACAACAAGCACGGAGAAACACCAAACCAAGAAAGTGAATTTGATTCTGTGTTTGCTGTTACACCAACATCTGATATTCATGCTGCTTCTTCAGGTCCTAGCATGAATCATGCTGTTGTGTCAAATGAGAATATTAACAATGTCAACAAAGAACATGTCTCGACAACTAGCCCCTTCGGTCCATCTGGATTTGAGACACACGCAAAAAACGACCCATTTGCCGCTACACAACCCCAGCATGGGTTTCAAGACTTGTTTGGCCAGTCATCAACAGTGCCCGCTGCTTCGTCAGTTGCATTACCTGAGACTGAGCTTGCTGGTTCATCATTAAAGGGTGAAAATCAAGGAGTAGAATCTACCATAAATGATACGAGAGGGGTTAAAGAAGAACAAAAACAACCACAAGGCCAGCAGCGTGTCAAGGAGCAACAGGAGCAAGCAAGCACAACGGCAAATGAGCCTGCCACTGCCACTTCCTCCAAATCAGTGCCAGATGATGGCAAAAAGAAAAAGAAAAAGAAAAATATCGTGTCATGGGCCAAGAGTTTTGGTGGATTCGATTTTTCTGGCCTCGACAATGAAGACAAAAAGAAGAAGAAGGCCGAAAAGAAGAGCCACAAGAAGGAGCAACAACAATCCAAGAATCACGCCAGTAGTAGTAATACATCATCCGTAGCATCAGTGCCTACTCAAACTCGAAACAGCAGTGGATTTGATGATAGTATTCAGCAGGCACCCACTGCACCCACAACAACAACAGCACCGTCGCAAACAACCACGACACCCGCTGCGACTACTACCATAAACACAAACAATAACACCAACAACTTTGCCTACGACTTGGACACGATTCAAGGCAGCCATATTGCTGAATTAGTAAATATGGGATTTGATCCAGCTGCTGCTTTGGAAGCATTGGATCGTTACGACCAAGACTTGGAGAAGGCTACCAACTTTTTATTGGATCAAGCTTATAATTAATCTTAATAAATAATATGTAATCTGAGAAGTGCAACTAGTTTTCTGGCAAGGAGTCTTTTGCTTACATTTAAAGAAATTCAAAAGGTCCAAGCGTCCGAGCATGTTTATATATATATATATATATATGATGCTATCCAGATTTACACATATGCCATGGTTATTCAACGTACATATAGACACGTTATCAAAAGAGAATAATCAAGGAGCCACAACATGAATGTGTATGTAAACATAGACACAACTTGTAACAACAATTAATCCTCTCCCTATTCATCCTTATTATAGATGAACTCTAATTAACAACCTTTTTAAATGGAGGATTCTAAGCTTTACAGTGTTGTGCATTTTTTTTCTCTGCTTCAAAAAAAAAAAAAAATGGAATCCAATGTATCACAACAAGCCTACACATCCATGATGAAATTCACCATTGACGGTCGTCCTTATTTGAAGGTTTGTTCTATAATGCATGCAACCATCCCAAACAAATAAACTCACATCAAAACACACCAGGATATACATGATCTATTCGCTGCGCTGATAGTTCAGATACCACTCGACACACACAGATACTTGTTTCGAAACTACTACAATACCTTCTCGTCTGAAGACGCAATCCAAGCATTAGGCAACTTGCGATTCTCTCACACTGTCCGCACTCCTGATCCGAACGACTCGTCTCGCTTACAGAGAACCACCACCACCACCACATTCAACATGGCTCGAGAAATGGCAAAATCACTCTGTCAGCAATTCCAAAACTGCCGCCTGATGGAGAACGCTGTCGACCCACAAAACAGAACATTCCGTGACAAGGGCATCTGGCATTTGACACCCAAGGGCTTATGCGTACTGCAAGATTTCTGTGTGCGTACCGAAGTCAACATGACAGCCCTTCGAAAGCACTTTAGCCATATGGAAGCCATTCATCTCGTTCGTCTCGACCGCAACCCTGATGACGATCAGCTTATATTGAACCGTGCCTGTGTGTCTGTCATATTCAGAGTCATGATGACCTGTCTGCCCCTGGATGGTGAACTGACGAGCTCTGGCAACGCTAGCTCCATGTCTGTGTCCTCAAGACAGCAAAGCACCAACAGCACGCCTCCCTCCTCCACTTCATCCTCTGTATCATCTGCCACCTCCTCCTCCACGCCTTCTCTCAGTGCACCATTTGCCATGTCCTCTACTGTGTCCGGCAGCGATTCCAGAGTCCATATGCTGGGAAACTACCTCCTTACGCTCTCCAAATCTGGCCGTACAACAACGCAACTCAAAACTGCCAAAACCATGCGTACCGTGTTCTCCTCGCAAATGTGCTGCGACTGGCTGTTGGACTATAATACTGTCTCTTGTCGTGAAGAAGCAGAGGCCATTGCACAAGAGTTCATCAAGTACAACTGGATCGAATTCCAAGACCCCAAGCATCACTCACTGCCACTGAAATCGTCCAAAGTCTCCATGTTTGTAGTGACCGACAAGGGCAAGCAAGTCGTTGCTGAACCCGTGAAGCAGCCAAATTCACCTTCGATCAGCCAACAGCTTTCTGATCGATCGAAAATCACAACCACTTCCAACGTTGTCCGATCACGCAGTAACACAATTACTAAAGAAGACGAGGAGGCATCTGAAGAAGAGAAAACAACCCTGCGAGAGATACTATCACAAGATCCTGACTCCCTATTAATTACTCAACAATCAACGACCACGACCGACGACACTGAAGACGCTAGCACACACACTGACCACTCAGCGTCATCCAGGCCACCTAGCATCGCCGTCGATAATAGCAGCAGCAGCCATGCCACTGTCGATTCAAAAGAAAGCAACTCGGCTCGTCTCAAAATCATACTTGAAAATGCCAAATTGCGCTCACCCTTCAAAGACTTTTTACGGGCCAACTTTTGCGAAGAAAATCTGGACTTCTGGATCGACTACAACACATTGCGCAGAAAATGTCGTACCCAGAGCCCTGCTCTGCCATCGCAAAATCAGAAGGATCTGTTGGAGGATGCTTACGACATTTGGTCTACATACCTAGCTCCTGGATCCTCATGTGAGCTCAACGTGGAGCATTCCCTATGTCAAGAGATGGCACGCATTGTTCATTCGGTCGTTACAGTCATTCCGGCCTATCCCGGGCAAGGCAAGCCCACGATTGTCATCACTGCTTCATCGGCTTCTCAGAGTTTACGCATGATGCTGAAATTATTTGACAGGGTCAATGAACACATTTGTCGTTTGATGGCTTCGGACTCTGTCCCTAAATTTGTTAAAACTGAAAAATACCGTAAAATCATCGATTCTATTGAAAGAAGCGAGCGTAAACGTCAAAAGGAGCTGGAAGAGCTGACAGATTCATTGCGTAAAATGGACTCTACTGACGATTTGTATCAAACAAACATCGAAACATCTTGAAATGCATTTCTAAATAAATTTAATTCAAAGTCCACCGCACTCCTTGCCCGTTTTGTGTTTTTTTTTTTCTTCTTTGATATTGAACCCCCTTGCTTATTATCACATACAAATGTCTGGTGTTGCTACATATTATGCAAAAATGTTTGGTGCTGGTGCTGCCATGGGCGCTGGATTAGAAGTGCTGCTCATCAAGAGCAACTATTGTAAGTGGATTTGTCTCTAGTATACATGTGGAGAGGCTCACATGTTTGATTCATAGACCAAATGCTCGCTGCATCAGAAGCCAAGCAACGACTCAAGGATCTCAAGCAGGAGCAAGAGGATCTCGAACGCTACAATCGCATGCAAAAAAACCAACAAGCTTCTTCTTCTTCTACAAATTAGAGATGGAATTCGTCTTTATATCATTCTCCTTGTATCAATTACTCGCATTCATTACATTCTGCTTGGATAAGGAGTCTTTTTTTTTATCGTACGACAACAGCATCAAGAATTTTGTACAGTGTCGTTCAATCAGTAGTAGTTGATGATGATAGCTTGATCGCTATGTAGATACGAATAAACAAATGCTCATATCATGAATGTTCAATTAAAAAAAAGGGGGGGTGAAGGAGTTCACAATCGACATTAGAATCAATGAGATTCACCAGATCAAGAACGAGATAAACGACTTGTTGATAAAAGTATGTACTAAATTGGCTGTCAATGTTCTATCCTTCCTCCTTGTATACCATCACAGCAGCTTACTGATGCTTTTCAATCATTTTGAGTTAGGTCTTTTGGCTTGACGATGCGTATCATGCAGACGTTGTTTTTTTTTCTCATTACATTTAAACTTTATGCCCTGTGATTCGTCTTTTATAAGCGTGTACCTGCTATATATTTAGTTACCATGGATACAGAATGCATAGGAGTCTCCTTGTTCATTCCAAATAGGACAAACATATGCGGGTTTGACCGTAACACACAAATAAGCATTTGAGAATGTTGACATTTTCTTCTTGCTCGGAGGTGAAGCCGATGCTGAACAGCCTTACATTGATCTGGGTAACTGAACAAGTGAGTCAAGCAGCAGGATTGCGTGTTACATAAATAAACAACTTGAAACAACATGATATATGCCCTTGATCTGATGTCATGTTTATCGTTTGCAGCAGCAAGCATCTACGACACAGACTCTTTTATGATGACGGACATTTGCAGCAAACAGTGGCACAAACAATGTTTATTCAACATTGCAATGAGACAAGGATGTACATGGAAATATGAGCTAGACTATTCCAGATGACAAATGCGAAATTAGTTGGTTAACTGCTTATTAGAATGAACTAGACGTATGCTACATGGATTGGAAAACAGCTGGATAGGTGGCATCGCACATGTGAGGGTTTTGGCCACTGTTATATTACACAAGTTTAGAATTAGCAAGTTTTTTTTTTTTTTTTTTTTTTTTGTTTGTGATAGTGACAAACAAATAACACACTTACCACCATAATGGTTGCAATGCTTCAGCTCGAATACCTCGTTTAAGTAATCTGTAACGCCAATCAAATATTCTAGGCATGGCATCCCCAATGTCTCTTTTAATGCTGTTCTCGTCATACCGTCCAGACCACATGTTTTCTGCAGCTGCAGCTGCTCTAGGCCTGTGTTTGATATGTGCGTAAATTAGAAAAAATGACCAAGAATAGTAATTAGTAAGATCAATTTACCAGAGTCTCACATCCAATGCTGTTTCATCTGTCTGCTCTGCCCACAAGGCTACCTCCCCACCCAAAATGTTCTGGGCCTCTGTCTCTGTGAGATTGAAAGCGACATCATAACTGTACACTCTTTGCCAGGTTTTGAAAGGACTACAGATATGTATTAAGACATCTCCTTTGTTTGTCTGTGCTATGTAATATTACCTGCACCAATCTCCACCTGAGCCTCCCCAATTGGGCGTGTTGTAATTGCCAGAAACGCCATTTTTCTCTAATGCTGCTGCCACAGCTTTAGGAACAGCAGGAGGCACCTGTTCCTCATAGCTCGTGTCGTTGCCGCTACCACAATTGTTAGTATCTTCATATCAATCAATTGAAATTTAGTGCCTTACCCCCATCCACCATGTCCGCAATCAAGGTACCAAAAGTTGTAGTTGGAGGCAATGACCTTATAGCCCTTTTTGACGGCATTCTGTACAGGATTGGTCCAAACCTGCAAGATCACATCTTTTGAAATAGGCAAGTTGTCATTGGTAACAGCATCTGGGGACACTTGATTAGTACCAGTGGCTCTAAGAGCACATCAGCATTGGCTTACCTTCCCAGATGATGGCAGTCTTGTTTGATTTTTGAATAAAGCCCAATTCCTTTTGGAGAAACGTGTTCAGTAAATCAACACCAGTGGCATTGTGTTCCTTCATGTAATCCACAACGCTTTGATCCTGATTCCAGCATTTGTATACAGGCTCGTCGCCACCTCCGTGAAACAAACTATCGGGGAACAAGGAGGCTACTTCTGTAATGACCTTGTCCACAATCTCATATGTTTTGTTCTTGACGGGATTGAGCTGTCCAGTGCCAGGCTCGGCAGCTAACCTCTCACTCCAGTCATCGCCAGGAAGGTAATGGACACCTGTGCATGTTCTACATAAAGAATAAGGAGGGATTAGCCATCGTGCAAGAATACAGAAGCGAAGGAACAGCGTAATGCAGTGTGTTTAAGGAGAGAGCTTTGTATGCTACTTACGTTATATCTTTGTGGGATAAGGCCCATGAACCAGTGTGTGCAGGCTAAGACGGGATAAGTCAATCAGTCGAATCAAGCGGCATTACATAATATTTTACCATATCAATCTCGGGAATGACGCGCACGCCACGCTTGTAAGCATATTCAACAATGTTTTCAACGTCGTTTTCGGTATAGACTAATCTTCGTTGGTGTAGTTTATAAGCACCCTGCTGAGCAAGTTCAGGAGCAGTTCTCAGCTTGAGAGGGAAACTTTGCGAGTCAGTGATATGCCAGTGGAATACCTTGGAACTTGTGTATTAGAACTCTTTGAATGCATTACGGGCTGAGCTATACTTATTTACATTCATCTTGTTAAAAGCCATTGCGTCAATCGTTCGAAGAATGTCTTTGACTGGAAAGTAGTTTCTAGATGTGTCTGAATGCGAGAGTCCTTTTTTAGTATCGTCTTGACAATCCCCATTAGTTTGCATAAAGATAAACTTACCCAGCATCAAGCCTCGGTGCGTGTATTTTGGTGCGTCTTCAACACGAATGGGTGCATTGGGAATGTAAAGCTCTTCAAATCCAACATTGTCATAATCAGGTTCCTCGTCTGGATCGTAGTCTTCGATTTCCTCCCTCCCATCCTCATTGAGATTTGGACGAGCCTGGACCAGTTGAGAAAAGGTTTCGAGCCCACGAAGAGTTCCCCATAAAGTCTTTGATTTCAAAGTGCCTGTGCCCTTTCCAACAGGTATATCCAATATATAGGATTCGTCGACCTGATGCTCTAATATCTGATCCTCATCTTCGATGATGATATTCAAAGCCCCTAATGTAGTACGTGATTTTTTCGGTTTGGTGGTTTGATTGTTTGCTGGAAAAGGAGCCTGCACCTAGAGAATGGCACAAAAAAGCATCAGGTAACAGTAAAAGAAATGCATAAAGAACCCAAGCTCTTACTGGTATCCATCTTTCATTGGTGATGAGTTGAGTGTAGCGATCAATTGCGTCTTGTAAATGCTCAACATCAGGTCCAGATATGTGAAATGATGTCTAATCGAAAGAAATCTATTTGAGTATTGGGTAATGGATGACATGAATTGTCAACATGTCTACATACATCGAGTTCAAGCTCTGTATGGCCAGATTCCATTCTCTGAGGCACAGGCCACAACAATGATGTCGCCAATGTGAATGAGGGAAAAGCTACAGTCAATGCTGCAGTGAGTGACAACAGCTTCATCTTTGTTACGGATTCACAGAAAAAGGGAGGGAGAGGTGAAAGAAAGACAAGTAAATATATATATATATATATATCAATCCAACGTATTTTTTGGTTGGGATCGCAATGGTGCATGAGCGTTCAGTTTCCGCTGCTGTTTGTTTGTTTGTGCATTTGGTAAACATGCGAGTATGTAATTCAACTTATGTTTGAAAAGCGTCGATAGCATTGTTGATAGAATTTCTAACAGTATACGTGATGCAGATAAGATTTTGCATTAAATTGAGAGATCTATTACGTTTACAGAATCTAGAAAATAAATCATGTATAAACAAGTATTTGATCTAACGCTCGATTGCAGTGATGAATAAAATTCACATATTTGTCTTCATGTAGAGTGGGTTATATGAAGCAATCAAAAGTATTATTGTATGTGTTACTCAAATGCATCAGCTACTAATAAGCCTCATAAACGATTGACATTTGATGTCAATCAGCCAAATTTGTAAAAGAGTTGTGGCATAAGGTCCAACTGTATGCTAAAATGAGAGCAAATATCACAAGTGGTATGCTTCAATTTTTTGGGAATTGCATTGCTCTGGGTGAAATCTCACATTGGCATTGTATCTACATTGATATAGTCTGCGAGGCTGTATGTTGTGCACTCTCCAGAAAGGGTTTGCAGCCTCTTAGTAACATTCTGGCGTATTTCACTAGCCTTGAACTCATCGATGAGGAACACACTGAATCCATGCTTTCTCAACATACGACGGAAACTTAAACCACGAATTGATTCGTGAAAGCGAGCCATGGAGCAGACCAATTGCTCATGCTGTAGGTGACATCTCAAAATTGCTCTTGTAGCTTTATAATCAACTCTCAGTCTATCCTATCACCATTGCGTTTTGTCGATAATTTCAGTTTAAAGATAAAGAAAGAGGGCATCCTTACTGCTTAAATAGGGCCAGATGCTCCAGATCAAAACCTTTATTTGTTCATATCTATACTAACAGCGACATCATATATCAAAAAAATAAATCGTATACAGTAGTCGCTCTATATAAGGCTACTTTTTTGGCGAGGTTTTTTTAGCCTTATTGCCCGCATAGCCTTAACTGGCGCGCGTGACTTCTGTCAAAAAAGTCGTGCGCGTAGAATCTATTACTATAATAGTTGATCAAATAAATCAACTTGATACCTCCCCAGTAACATTCATTTATCTGTTTATTTTACTTCTATTGAACGTAATATCCTATCATGTGCCTTAATCAAAGATCAAGAGATCGCCTCACAATCGAGCAAAAGTATCGCATTATTATGCACAACATGCACTTTCCTAATCTGACGCAAATGCAACTCGGTCAATGGGCTCAAAAGGAATTCAACCTTCATCACTCAGTCAAGCAAAAAACTGTATCGAACGTCTTGAATTCACAGGACAAGGTGATCAAAGCTTACGAAGGAGGAAATTTGAAGGGAAAAAGCAGCAGAGCCTTGACGATGCCACAATTGGACAATGACATTTTGGAGTACATTCAAGCCATGAATGCAAAATCTCTTCCTGTCAATCGTGGAACTATTGCAGCTTTTGCAAAAGTAGTCGCACACAGAAAGTACCGCATGCATGAATTGCCAAAGAATAAGCAAATCCATTTCTCAGATGGATGGCTAACCGATGTTTTCAAGAGAATTGGTGTCAAGTCAAGACATTTATATGGTGAAAAAAGCTCAGTCGACTTAACATCATCTAAGATTGTCGAAGAACTCAGAAAGATTGAAGAATTGTTGGAGCCATATGATCCCAAAGATATTCTCAACTTTGATGAAACTGGCTTATACTACGAGCAACAACCAACTCGCACCATTTGTCAGGAACCTTTAGGTGGTTCAAGAAAAAGCAAGAACCGATTCACAGTTGGACTAATCACCAACTATGATGGATCCTATAAAGGGCACCCCATTGTAATTGGGAAACGAAAGACACCAAAGGCAGCAAACAAAAAACCTGCTTTGTACAGAAGAACCACCAACATCGGGCAATCCCATTACGTGGAGTACCATTCATCTCCCAATGCATGGATGAACACCGACATCTTTAGGAAGTACGTAAAACGTTTGAATGCGTCTTTCGTTTACGCCGGAAGAAAAGTTGCTCTCTTGGTTGACAATGCTTCAGTGCATAAATTGAAAGAAGAATTCAGCAATATTAAGTTGATTTTCCTTCCAGCAAACACAACAAGCAAGTTGCAGCCTTTGGATGCCGGTAAATCAACAAATTTCATTGATATACGTACTCATCTCTAATCACACACTCGATAGGAATCATTGCGAACTTCAAGGCTCAGTTTCGTTGGCACCAATACTACAGGGCAGTGAACAAGTATCTTGCTGGGGTAAGCCTTGATCTTACCGAGGAATACAGAATGGATGAGGTGGATGCTCTGTATTTTCTTGCTGATTCTTGGATCAAAGTTAAGCCTCAAACAATCCAAAATTGCTGGGATCATACGAAGATCCTTGATTTTAAGTTTGCTCAGAGACAGAGAGTCGACTCGGAGGATGTACTCCCATCTTTCGAGCTACCTTTAGACGATGATCTAGTCAGCCAGTTGAACGAAATCATCCCTGAACTTCCTGGAAACAGAAGTAATGATGGGGTTCAATTGGTAACTGAAGTAAACGACTTGGATCTAAATGCAGATGAGTCTGATGCAATCGTTTTTAATCCCGTGATTGTTGAATTTGAGGATGGCGATGATGTTACCCATGGATCACAAGAGCTTGAGGTAGAGGAAGAACCAGTAGAGATTTACGATGTTGATACGAAGGAGATAAGAGAGAAGTTGAAGCATGCGTATGAAACTATCTTGTACCATACCATCCCAATGGATGAAAAAGAAAAGTCTATGCTGAAAACTATCCGTAGGAATCTGAACGATATCAGATCGGAGGAAGTAGCAGAGAAAAATCAAACAGATTTACGTGATTATTTTGTTTAAATGTGTTATTTTTCAATAAAAGCTATATATTTTTTATTATCTGATTGGCCTTAAATTCAATCTCAGCGATCACCACTATGAAATAAGGCTAAAATTTTTAGAATCTGTAGCCTTATATAAAATTAGGCTATTAAGGCTAAATAGCTGGTAAAAAAAAAAAACCTGAAAAATTTCAGCCTTATTCCCCGCATAGCCTTATATAGGACGGCCTTATATAGAGCGACTACTGTAGATAGAATCTGTTTAGCGTAAAAGTGATATACATGCAAACTGCAATAGATAATCGCTCAATAAATACACACGCTGTCTTTGATTGTTGTGCAGAGCAGTTCTTGATCTACAAAACAGAGAAATGACGTTCATTACTGAGGTTTGCATTTGGATGAGCAATTCGCTCCGTTTTCATTTATCAGATATAAAAATTGGCAAAAGAGACAGTAGAAAGTAGCCAGTCTAGGGCATATTACTCTTCATTTCACAATTCCCTTCCTGTTAGCTCCAAAATATGAATTGTTTTCATGAGGAAGGCGTTTTGGCAGCCAAAATATGTTAAATCCCCAATGGGGTTTCTTTTGCATGCCTTGAATTTTGCGAGCATATGTCTGACATTTGCCAACCATCATCATCTCTAATATATATTTTTTTTTTGTAAGGAAGAGTTTATCTCTTCTGTTTTTATTTAAAGTCCTTAAATCGTCACTAGATATAAAGGAGAGGAGGTAAAGACTGTGGGATATAAAGGGAAGCTTAAATGATAGTATCAAAGGAAAGTTGTGAGCCGAGATGGTGCAGTGCACGATGAATGGAGTGGATGATTATTGACGGAATGAAAGGAGAGTGTTGGAAAACTTGGCAGTAATGAGCAGACCATATGGCCTGTTGAATGCAAGCAAAGACTTGGAAAACGGATAGATCAGGAAAAAGTTCATGAGAAGATCGGTCAAGAGTAAGGCGCAGGTGAAGGATAGCTAAATATTCCTCGTAGGCGAAGTGGGCGAAGCGAGGGGAGATGTAGAGAGAGAGAGAATGGCGCCAAACTTCCAATTTGAGGGGACAGGAGAAAAGGAAGTGCTCTGTGTCTTCGATGGCAGGTGGTGTGGTGGAGGATGAAGACTGACAATGAAGGCAGTACGGCGGAAATTGGTCGCGCATGCGTTGGTGGAGTAGCTGCCTAGTAGTAACTTTTTCATGAAGTATCCGAAACCAAGTATTGCGAGCATTCAAAGGTATCTGGAGGGCCCAAAACTGCTTCCATTTGGCAACACCTAAAGGAGACGAGAAAGAGGACATGTTAGTATGTAGAGGAAGGGATTTATACCCGTGGTTAGTAGGGAGAGACATAAGGAAGGAATGGGACTCAAAGGAAAATGAGGATGACATTAAGGAAATGAGAAGAGTAGAGATATGGGTGATACTTTCGGTATAGCTGGTGATGGTAGAGAGGTCGATGTGGTGGATGACTGGACGAGGGACGAGAAGAAGCCGGTTGAAATGAACGAAGTTGGCGAAGAGTAGTTGTTCAGATTGTAGGAGTTGAAGGGCTCGACGGCTGGTTGTAGGATGAGGGAGGCCGCGTGTTGAGATTCGAACTTGGAGGGCTTGAGTTGCTGGGTCAAAGGTTAAAACATCGTTACCTGTGAGGGTAAGAACGCCAGGACAGCGTACAGTCACTTCCTGTGGGGGGCAGAATGTAGCCGAGAGGCTATGAGATGATGGCAGGCTATGTTCGATTAGGGTTGCAAGCGGGAGGCGCAGACAAGTACTAAAGGGAACATGGCAGACACCAAACTTGCGGGCAATAGCATCGACGGCTCGAAGGAGGTTGTAGAGTGGGGCAGTGATAGCTGTTGAACGGGATGGCCGGCAAGCAGGGGAAAGAAGGGACCAGTGGTAGGTAGGATAAGAGGGAGTAGCAAGAAAGAAGTTGAGAATGACACGTATGTAAGGAATCGAGGTCTTGGTAGGAGGAGTGGGGTTTGCCGGATGCAAAAGAGGGTGTAACCATCGCCACTGAAGAGCATT